GGCGATGTCTCAACAGATAAGGAAAAAACGCTGGTGGTTGGAATGTCAAAAAAGTGGAAGCAAAAGAGCAATTCGACCCAAGTCTTCATAGTTCTACAATTGCAGAATCAACAACCTTCAACATCATTGGTCACAAGTCATGTGCCAGCTTGAACCAGAAGAGACAGCTTGTAGGACCAGAGACGCAAAAGGGCTCCCAGGCATGTCCTCAAACCAATCGAAACAAAACCTTTGCGGGACATGTCTTCAGTAGGTCCACAGTAGGTGGAGCATCCTGAGGCATCTTCACCACCGTTCATTCTCAGAACCCCTGCCATAGCAGAACGACTTGTTGCTTGTGCAACCTGAGGCGCAGCGTCGATCAACAGAGCATGCAAGGTCCAAATGGTATGAAGGGTCTATCCTATTCCCTGTAACAGCGGATGATGATGGTCAGTTAAGGCCTTTCTCTAAAATTCTAAAAATGTGATAATTCTTTACCAACTGCTACAAACAAGTGACAAGTTCGGACAGCTCAAATGCTCTATTTTTTCTACTGCGTCCATTGCCACCAAGGAGCATGATCGGATTAAACAAAAGGCGCTCCTGCAAGCCGACGAGCACGTCAAGGCGTCGCAATCAAATGTGGAAGGACGTCGATCCAAGGCTGAAGAAATCCCCAGGCTGTCCTCTTTCTTGAGCTCCTCTTCCTGGCACTGTAGCTGGGCTGCGAATGCTGCTCATGCTGCTCATCCCTTGGAACATCTCCCATCCTCTTGGGTCAAGGCGGCATTTTTGGCCTGCTCCCAGTGGCTCCCAGGTTTCATTACGTAGCCCCCTTCTCGATGATTCTCGTTATTGTTTCTTAAAGACCCCCCAAATAGATAGAAGTTCGTAGATCCCCACAGAAGTTTGTAGACCCCCACTTGGAACATCGATTGGACACCGGTGCAATCCCTATCTATTTGGGGACCACTGCTGGTTATACAGGTCCGGTGTTCCCCAAGTCAGGCCTTGTGGCTTTGCCTCTGTGAGATGTGGATTGAAAGCCACATCCTCGGCACTGCGGATCGTTCGGGACCGCCCCAGGGCCGCCGGAGCGGCGCCGGGTCGGACGACCGAGAGGACCGGTGGGGGAGCAGATGCCTCGCGTGGTCGGTGGGGCCGCGACGGTGTTTCCCGCGGGACGCAAACCACGTGTTGGTCGTCTTGGCCGTCTTGGGGGGTCCAAATGGGCAAGTTGGAAATGGAGGGGAGTGGACACCCCATCCTTCGAAGTAGCTGGAGGAAGGGAAACGTCTAGGAATCGCCATCCCCGACGTTGATACACAGCCATCACTTCTACATACTTCTACCATAAACAGTTTGGGCCAGCTTAAGACATCCAGGGACACTTCACCATGACTTGACCTGAAGTAGGAAAACTATACCAGCTGCTTTCAAGGAGTCACCAATGCATATCTCCACACTACTTACAGGTCTCCATTGGGCACCCCTTGCAAGCGCTAGGTAGAATCCTCGGAAGTGGTGTATGGAAATTTCGGAGGTGGCCCCTTCTTTGGACCAAAAGCATGTCTTCAAAGGTGAGGGCTTGGACCGACCCGACCAGTTCGCGCCAGGCCGGACATGCTGACCCGACCGGGACCTGGCGCCAGGCCAGCCGGTCGAACCGGGCTCGTTGTTGTTCTTTTGAGCCAAGTGTCTCTGAGGCGACATCATGATCATCGAGTTCCGACCTCAGAGAATGCCCTCAATGGAGTCCAAGACGACTTACACAAATATACAAAAATTTTGCATATTAGATGACCCAAAAAGGACTTTCGTACACACTTCAGTGAAAAAAAAAAACGTCAAACTTTGTCAGACGTCGTGGCAGGCGCAGCATTTGGTAAACTTCTATATAGCTCCATTTTTCGTGGCAGGTGCTGCACTTGGTGAACCTCTGTTTCCATTTTTCGTGGCAGGCGCAAGGAATTTGAAGCTCCAGGTGGCCAAACGTGTGGCGAATTGCTTAATCGTAACGTTGGAATCCAACGTTATGCTCGTTTTACGTGGCAGGCGTGGGACAAGAAATCGTAACGTTGGAAGCGTTTTAAAAATAGACTATGTGACTTAAAAAAAGAACGCGTCCAACGTTATGATTTTCACTTTTTTGTGAAACTGTCGCCAAAAACGGATCGTAACGTTGGATTCCAACGTTATGATTTGCACCGCTGCATTTGAAGTTGTCATTTTTCGTGGTATGCGCAGCATTTGGTGAACCTGTAGTTTCATTTTCGTGGCAGGCGCAGTATTTTGTGAATCTATGTGTTCACTTTTCATGGCATGCGCAGCGTTTGGTAAACCTTTGCTGTCATTTTTCGTGGCAGGCGCAACATTTGGTGAACCTCAAATGTCCTTTTTTTGCACTTTTCATGGCGTGCACAGCATTTGATAAACCTTTGCTTTCATTTTTCGTGGCAGGCGCAACATTTGGTGACCTCAAATGTCTTCTTTTGCGGCTGCGCAAGATTTGGCGCACTTTTCGTTCTTCACTCAACCTGTGGTTCCTGCAGTCCCGCAAAGGGAAAAAAAAACGTTGCTTGCGGATATCCAAGGGAGGGGTTGCAAGACAACAGGGCCATCAAAGCAGGTCCTGCCAATTCTCAAAAGAACGCCTCCTTTGAATGGGTGTTTGCAACGTTTTGTTTTTGCAATTTGTCCAAAAATGAAACCACAATTCGGCTTGCAGATCAGCTTCCAACTGGTGGGCCCTGATTGTATTTAAATACACACCCATCTGTAAGATCCTGGTTCGAAACGAACCGAGCCTAAGTCAGCCCCTAAGTCCGATATCAATGCAGCATGTCTGCAGATGTCCTATACCCTATACCATTTCTATCCTTTTCCCCTTCCAAACATTCCCCTTTTTCCATCTGGATTCCTGGATTCTTCCATGAGTATCGGATGCCCTCCGTTGACCGGTCTGGGGGTGGACTCTGCGAGAGCGGGCTGTCAAATCAAAACAGGGCAACCAACCAATAGTTAATGGAACAAAGCAATCAAAAAAGGTCTATGACTATGAACTGGAGGCGAATTCTCAGGGTGGTCTATATTTGCATCAGAAACATTAATAAACTCTCCAAAAAAGAAACGTTGAATCCATTGATTCGCAGAATGTGTGATGTTGTTCCATTGAGCTTTGAGCCTTGAAAACACCCCAGAAGCTGCTCGGTGGGACATGCAATGTCCCACGGAAAAATCGCCGGAAAAGGAAGAAAAGCAATGGAAAAAATCACAGGGGTGTCCACCCCCATATGTTTTTCTTTTCAGATTGGGTTCTATCAGGTGGTTGTTCATGTGTTCTTTTCGTATGGTTCTTCCGTGTTTTGTTTGTTGGAAAGGCATCGACTCTGCGTCTCCCGAACGGCCGTTCCAACGGCTCGTCTCTTTTTGGGCGCCGGTGCAGGAATTGCTCCAAAGCCCGGTGCCCAAACCTGGCCGCGAAAATGGCCCATGGCCCGAAAACAGGACTTGGATGGACTTGGGATGGAGGTCTTTGATGCTGGTCGTTCTATTTGATGCTGATTTGGATGTCTGATGAGTTCGGATTCACATGGACCCCGGAAAAGAAGATTCACCCGGGAACGAACCACTATCGTTCCTTTACACACCCAGGCTGACCGGTTTGACGAGATCGGACTCAATGCCAGGTCGAGAGCAAGCTGGAGGTGGAGGTGGAGCAAATGCTTCGCCTATAGATGGAGGATCGTGGAGGATGAAACCAACCCAGCAGACCCGTCAGCTGAACTGTTGATTGGCGGAAGATAGTGAATGGGCTGCGTGAGTTCAAAACCTCACCATCTGAGGCCACAAGTGATGTTCGTTGGTCCACCTGTGCCGTGGCTTTAAGAAACCCAAACACGGCCCATCCAACCAGGCTCACAACTGCATCAGTGGCATCCCTTAGAGGCACCAAACAGTTTCCTTCACTTATTCCAAGAAATCATGTCTGCCTTGACAAAAAGAAACACGAACCGTACCAGCAGAGAAGAAAAGTCCATCCCAAACAAATCCAAAAAAATCGGCCTTTCACCCCACCATCACCTTGTTTCATGGTCTTTCATGACTTCGATTTCGCATCACCTGACTTACTTCGGGCCCAAGTCCGGTTTCGGACACTCGCTGGCGCCTGTACAAGATGGACCCTGTGGGCTCCTTTAAGGCCGAAAGGATACAGCACCTCGGCGTGGTGCCCCCCTTCCGTGCCGACCTCGCCCGGTCTCGGTGGTCCCGGCTCGAAGGGGGGCGACTGATGGTGTGACGACCGACCTGAAGCCGAAGCTGCTCAGGCTGCGGCAAGGCCTTTTGCAAGGGTTCGCCATGTGGAATCAACTCCCAGCCTCAGAGGTCGCGCACATTTGGTCTTTCGTCGAAGGATTCGTGCTGCGAACATTCGGTCGGGTCGCGACCTTTTCTGCTCGTTCTGACTTCATGGCGGTGAGTATATCGAGTGCTAGATGAGACCAGATGAGACCAGTACCGAGTCTGATGATCAAATGGTGGGTCTGATCATGGGTCCTTTCCCCACCCTCTGTTGACCATGGCCGAAGAAGAAATCCGCCTGTTCCCTTTCAGCCTACCTTTCAGAGCGGAGCTGCCGCCCGGGCGTCCGTGCGGATGAGTTGGCCTAAGAGCTCGCCGACCATCAGAAGCCTCACTGATGAGGCAGTGTTGGAACGGTGTTGTGAATCTGACTAGGAGAAAAAACGACCAACAACAACACGACCCTAGTGATTCAACAAGACAATACAACATGATACAACATCTTCTTAGCACTTTGTGATCGCTTTGGGCTGGTCCTCCCAAGGCACTAATTAGCTTCGACACACCCCAGAGGCCACCTCCGGTCACCGGTGCCGCGCACCATCCGCACCGGCCCGACGGAACGTCGCTGCGTCGAACACCGGGTGCCCGAAGCGCCGGCGCCGCACCATCCGCACCGCGCACACCGTGCGTCGCGTCGGGTCGTGTTGCGTTCGTCAGCCAGCACCGAGGGGCTCCTTTTCGGGCCAGTAGGGCAAGCGTTGAAAATCGTCCAGGAGGATCCCAACGACGACTTCGTGGATCCGCCGCCTCGAGTGAGGCGGATCTCGGGCCCTCTGGGACCGGCACGCGAAAAGAAGCACCCCCCCCAACAAAACATGAGGCCCTAACATCTGATTGGCCTTCTATTGTTCGTGGTTCTTTTTTGTGAATGAAAAATATTGATCAGCTGTTAGAGATGTCAGAGAGGTTCGTTGAATAGACCAGCGCCGGATTCCATCAGTCAAAGAAGAGCTGTATAGCATGTGGAGGGCCGGGTGATTGAAGGAGGACAGCACTATGTCAGGACATGACAAGCACCGTGCGACGGGTAGTGTCGAACAAATGAAGCCCCGAGAAGATGGTTTTACAGCTTGTAGGTGACGTTCTGCTGTCTGAAAAAAGAACGATTGCAACAATTACACCTGGATTCACGAACGGAACGCTTCGTCGATATCTCATTCCCGGTGCCTTTCCCAGGAATTCATGGCTTGGCTTTCTCACCCACAGCGAGTTCCACCGGGTGCTCGGTGACTCAAATGGTTTCGGTCAGGTTTCAGATGGAGATGTGTTTGTTCCAGTTGATTGCGAGCTGGCTCTGCGCTATTTTGTTTCTCACGTGTCCACTCAGGAGGGGTCTGTCTCCTGTCTGACTTTAAAGCACAAGACCCTAAGCTCCAAGCTCACAGCAGTCAAATCTAGGCCCGAAGCATCGTCTTGTCAATGGCTTTTAACCGCATCAGGCCCACAAATTCCTGTGCAGAACTGTGCTTGTGGACTGCCCTGCTGACCATGAAAAACCTTGAAAACACCTGGTGAACTGCTTGTAGCTGATCCAACAAATCTCACACCCTACTTCCGTGGCTTCTGGCTTAAGAAACAACCCTACTATGGAGATGCACTTGCGCTTGCCATCGTATATTCACCCTTGAATACATCACAGACTGTTTGAACGGAACTCGGCCTGCGTATCAAGGCCCTGAGAGAAGAATCTTCGGAACAATTGTTCCGGAATGCCCTCCACCTGCCACGAACGTAGATGTCTGGTTCGATGTCAGTGTTGGGACTTGTGACTCTGCGCAGTCTTGGGTGTCCTCTTCAGAAGCGAGGCCCCAAAATAATTCAACAAGATTGGAAAGTGAGCAACCGGAGAAAACCAAATGACACTTGGCATGGGTCAGGAATCAAAAGCCCTTTTATGAAGGACAAAATGCCAAAAGCAGAACGTTGGATTTCACGGACTCGTCCATCTTCTTCCAAATCCAAGTGGGTGCGGTTTTTCAATGTTTCTTGATTTTTGTCAAAATCGTTGGGGCTTCAGTTCGCTGCTATTTGCAGCAGTTTGGGCATCCTTGACGAGGACTGCGGGCGCAATCCGCCGTGGCTGACCTTTACCCAGAACGACTTCGGCAGCAGAGCTGACGCTTAAGATACACAGCTGTTGTTGCAGGCAAAGTAGTGCAGATTTTGTATCGCTTGTGGTGCAGCGCAGTGTGGTCTTAAGAATTTCCGTTTTTTCGTGGCAGGCGCTGCAGATTTCGCAGCGCTGAAGGAGGGTTGGGGGGGGGAGAGCGCAGCGCGCCCCGCGAACCAAGAACATCAAAATACCATAGAAATCCATAGTGTGGCTGGTAGCCTGAAGAAGTTCCAAGGGACAGGCTTGCTCCGATGGCAACAAAGCAATAAACACAGGGCAAAAAGGCCAGAAAAAAGAGAAGCAAAAGCAAACCCAAAAGCCAAAACCAACAAAAACAAAAGCAACAAAAATCACATCTGAAAAAACAACTCCCACAAAACAACTCCCACAAAAGATGACCATCCAATTCAAGTTGACCATCCGGTCTTTCACAGGTCGTGTGCTCCAAACTTCTGGCAGAAACGAGGGCCGCTCCGCCTGGCAGGCATCCACCTGGCGACAGCCCAGGGAAGTGAAGCACACAAACGCGTCAAAGTGGTATGATGCCAGCCTATATTCGATCCGAAAAAAAACGATGTCTTCCAAAACGAGTTTTCTGGTGGTGAAACCACTCCGACGTCTCACATGCCGGTGTAAGAAAAGAACACATCCAGCCAGCTCGAGTTGCCCGTGAACCTGCTTGTCACCACGACGCTCTTACCACCACGTCGGGTATGGAAGTGGTTTGAAAAGGGTCCGTGAATTTTGCCGCATCTCTGTGGAGGTCAGCTCAACCATCAGATCATCAGCTCTTGTTGGAAGCACCCTCAGCAAATCATCAGCGAAGTCGCTGTCTGTTCACGCCACCCTATAATTGGACCAGGTAGGTCGGCTTGACTGTTTCGAATCACTCAAACGAGTCCCATAGAATTCCACTCTACCAAACCCCACCTTGAAATCCAAAAAATCCAAAAACACACCTACATGCCCGACAGCAGCCACGCAGTTGCGGAAAGAAAAACCTCTGGGGCTGAGCCCTGGAGCGTTGGGTGCTGTTGTGCTGGAATCCTTGCTTAGAGCCGTGAGCTCCCATATGCGCTGCCATATGTCACCCTCGAACCTTGGAACCCTGAATGCTGGTGCTGGAAGAGGAATGCCTCGAATGTTGAAAGTTTAGGTGCTGCCACCTTGGAAGAGTCTCTGTTCGGAATGCTGCCTTGGGTCACCTTCAATCCTTGGGTCACGCGGGCGCAATAACGCGGTGTCAGGCGGAAGCCTGTGGGCGCTATATGCGGTATGCGGATGTATGCGGTGCCGTGGATGCGGTGCCGGCTTCCATCGGGTGTCCGCCTCAAGTGTTGATAGCGGACTTCCACAGCTTGGAAGCCTGGGGGCCTGGTGCCGTGATCCGGACTTTCAGCTTGGAACCTTGGAACCTTGTTTTCGGTGCTGCGGGATTGGACTTCCAGCTTCGAAAACTGGTCATTGGGAGTTGTCATCGGACTGAACACCTTGCGTTGAGTGCGGTGATCCGACTGCCAAAGCCCGATCGGTGCTGGTGTCAGGTGCTGTGATCGGCGGCCCTCGATGGACGGGGTGAGTAGTGGAACCATTGTTTTGGCACCACCCAAACGTGTGCAATTTCAACCATGTAAAACACGCACCCCTGTTGCAAGAGCCAAGAGCATCCAAGAGCATCTACCCATCAGCACAGCGCCACAGGCTTTTTCTCAGGCACGGACCTCGACTAGACACGCCGGGCAACAGCTTTTGTACTTGTTTTGGCCACTATAGTAGTTTGTGTCTCCGTTGCGCAGCATTCTCTGAACGCAGTTTTTTTCCCGAATGCATAGCGAAGGGTTCCCGTTTATAGTTGGGGGTCTGGGGGTTGGAGCTGTGTTTGCATGGCTTGCGTCGTGTCGTCGTCTGTCGTCGTCTCTCGTCGTCTCTCGTCGTCTCTCGTCGTCGTCGCGTCTCAAATTTGCTGCCATTGGGGGAAGCTTTTGCAAGTGACTTTGCATGGATGTGTCACGTGTCAGTTTGCGCCGCTATTTCATTGTGATTTGCGTGACACGGACATGTCGCGCAAGAAACGTGATGCACTTCGCTGCACAGGCGCAGCGTTTTGTGAGATCCGCAGATTACGGCGCAGTTCCATTGGGATTAGCGCTTGGAGAGTCGTGTTTTTGGGGTGTTGGATGTGGCCGTGCCATTGGGATTTGCGTTTCAGGGTGTGGCATCGAAGCTCTGTTTTCGTGACAAGTCTCAGCTGAAATGGCGATTTTGATGGATGGGAGTGTGCTCTGAACGGGTCGAAATCATTCCAAACGTGTGGTGTGGTGCAAATTTTGTTGAAGCTCACATGCGATGATATTGTCACTTTTCGTGGCAGGCGCAGGACTTCCTGCGGGCTTTGAAGCGTGGAAGTGCAATTCTCGTGGCAGGCGCAGGGAATCGTGAGGTTGCGAGGTGTGAGGGAGGTGACATTTCGTGGCAGGCGCAGTACTTTGTGCGCGTTAGACGTGTGGATGGGGAAAGATTCGTGGCAGGCGCAGGGAATCGTGAGGTTGTGAGTTGTGGTAGAGGTGAATGTCGCTGTCCCATTGGGATTGGCGCGCGAGCGGATGTTGTTTGGAGGGGCTGGAATCGCGAAACTGCTTGGCAGGGCTGCGTGATGTGTGTGCTCCGATGGGTGTTTCCGCTTGACTTTTGGAGGAAGTCTCGTACGAAACGCTCGTTTTGCAGAGTTTGACGCGCGAGTTTTTGAGGAAGTCTCGTACGAAACGCTCGTTTTGGAGACTTGACGCGCAACCCTCTGCGGAGATCGTGCGTGTCGAGTGCACTAAATGCAGGCGAGAGTGCGATTTGTCCCCTGCGCACGCAACCCTCTGCGGAGATCGTGCGTGTCGAGTGCGCGAAATGCAGGCGAGAGTGCGATTTGTCCCATGCGCGCGCAACCCTCTGCGGAGATCGTGCGTGTTGAGTGCGCGAAATGCAGGCGAGAGTGCGATTTGTCCGGTGAAGCTGGAAGCTGAGAACTGGCGACCTTGTAGTACAACTGTAGTACGTGGAGTATCTGGGGAGCTGGAAGCTGAGAACTGGCGACCTTGTAGTACAACTTTAGTACGCGGAGTATCTGGGGAGCTGGAAGAGAGTCCCACAAGAGTGTCCCGCAACAGTGTCCCACTAGAGTGTCTCAAAAGAGTGTCCCTTAAGAGCGTCCTACAGGAGTATCCCACAACAGTGTCCTACAAGAGTGTCCCACAAGAGTGTCCCACAAGAGTGTCCTACAAGACTGTCCCACAAGAGTATCCTACAAGAGTGTCCCACAAGGAGTTCCACAAGAGTGTCCCACAGAGTGTCCCACAAGACTGTCCCACAAGAGTGTCCTACAAGAGTGACCCACAAGAGTGTCCTACAAGAGTGTCCTATAAGAGTGTCCCACAAGAGTGTCCCACAAGAGTGTCCCACAAGAGTTTCCCACAAGAGTGTTCTACAAGAGTGTCTCACAAGAGTGTGCCACAAGAGTGTCCCACAAGAGTGTCCCGCAACAGTGTCGCTCAAGAGTGTCCCTTAAGAGTGTCCCTTAAGAGTGTCCCACAAGAGTATCCTACAAGAGTGTCCCACAAGAGTGTCCCACAAGAGTGTCCTAGAAGAGTGTCCCACAAGAGTTTCCTAAGAGTGTCCCACAAGAGTGTCCTGCAAGTGACCCACAAGAGTGTCCCACAAGAGTGTCTCACAAGAGTGTCCCACAAGAGTGTCCTACAAGAGTGTCCTACAAGAGTGTCCCACAAGAGTGTTCCACAAGAGTGTCCTATAAGAGTGTCCCACAAGAGTGTCCCACAAGAGTGTCCTACAAGAGTGTCCCACAGGAGTTTCCTACAAGAGTGACCCACAAGAGTTTCCTACAAGAGTGTCCTACAAGAGTGTCCCAGAAGAGTGTCCCACAAGAGTGTCCTACAAGAGTGCCCCACAAGAGTGTCCTACAAGAGTGTCCTACAAGAGTGTCCCAGAAGAGTGTCCCACAAGAGTGTCTTACAAGAGTGTCCCACAAGAGTGTCGTACAAGACTGTCCCACAACAGTGTCCCACTAGAGCGTCTCACAAGAGTGTCCCTTAAGAGTGTTCTACACGAGTATCCCACAAGAGTGTCCTACAAGAGTGTCCCACAAGAGTCTCCCACAAGAGTGTCCCACAAGAGTGTCCTACAAGAGTGTCCCACAAGAGTGTCCCACAAGAGTGTCCCACAGAGTGTCCCACAAGAGTGTCCTACAAGAGTGTCCCACAAGAGTTTCCTACAAGAGTGACCCACAAGAGTCCTACAAGAGTGTCCTGCAAGAGTGTGCCACAAGAGTGTCCCACAAGAGTGTCCTATAAGAGTGTCCCACAAGAGTGTCTCAAAAGAGTGTCCCAAAAGAGTTTCCTACACGAGTGTCCTACAAGAGTGTCCCACAAGAGTGTCCTACAAGAGTGTCGTGTAAGAGTGTCCCAGAAGAGTGTCCTGCAAGTGACCCACACAAGTGTTCTACAAGAGTGTCTCACAAGAGTGTCCCACAAGAGTGTCCCACAAGAGTGTCCCACAAGAGTGTCCCACAAGAGTGTCCTACAAGAGTGTCCCACAAGAGTGTCCCACAGCGCCCCACAAGAGTGTCCTACAGGAGTATCCCACAAGAGTGTCCTACAAGAGTGTCCCACAAGAGTGTCCTAGAAGAGTGTCCCACAAGAGTGTCCCACAAGAGTGTCCCGCAGAGTGTCCCACAAGAGAGTCCTACAAGAGTGTCGTACAGGAGTGTCCTACAAGAGTGTCCCACAAGAGTGTCCCACAAGAGTGTCCTATAAGAGTGTCCCACAAGAGTGTCCCACAAGAGTGTCCCACAAGAGTTTCCGACAAGAGTGTCCTACAAGAGTGTCCTACAAGAGTGTCCCACCAGAGTGTCCTACAAGAGTGTCGTGTAAGAGTGTCCCACAAGAGTGTCCTGCAAGTGACCCACAAGAGTGTTCTACAAGAGTGTCTCACAAGAGTGTCCCACAAGAGTGTCCTACAAGAGTGTCCCACAAAAGTGTCCCACAAGAGTGTCCCACAAGAGTGTCCCACAAGAGTGTCCTAAAAGAGTGTCCCACAAGAGTGTCCTACAAGAGTGTCCCACAAGAGTTTCCTACAAGAGTGGCCCACAAGAGTGTCCTACAGAGTGTCCCGCAAGAGTGTCCTACAAGAGTGTCCTTTGGACATATTAGTTTTTCGATCGTGTTTGCATTCGGGTTCGTGGGTTCCATCTTTTTTACACTAACAAGGCCACAGGCAAATGCACATACCTAGCCCGACGTTTCTGTGCTGTTGAACTTGTGGCTTGCCTAGTGTTTCCGCTAATTAGCAGTCTTTCTGGGCAGAAATATTTATCTCGCTGGTGCTCTGGAAGGAGCCATGAGCCCGGGCGTATCCATATTTTGCAGTCAAGAGGGAGCCAAGAAGCGACAGGGAGTTCTTCAACCCGCTGCTAGTTAGGGTCAACAGTATGGAAGGTGTTTGTTTGTCCGAGCAACACGCTCCCGTGCATGGGAGCCTTAGCAACACACAAAAAAAATCGAGTGATTGAATCGAACAGTCCAAGCGAATTTCGTTGCTACCTGCTGTTGGGTTGCAAATCTGGCCGGAAAATGAAAAAGACATCTCCTCTCCCTTCAGCCCGTGTACCACCACAAAATATGTCTGCGTGCCTCGTGCGCGAGCCCGGACTCCACGGTCCCCGTCGTCGACGCACCTGCTCGCTTCGGCTCGGTTGGGTCCAGGTCCGTCGTTGTTGGGAAGAAAGGCGCATAGACCTAGCGCTTCCTGTCAGGGTGCCCTGTCGGAGACCTGTTTACGTAGTGTGGAGATATCCAGCCGACCCCGAACGGAAGCAGCTGGTATATATATATATATATATACTTGAGGCCAAGGGGGGGGGGCGAAAGCTAGCGCTCCAGAATGGGAAAGTGGAGGGCAGCGAGGTAGGAAAAAACACGGCGCTCTTTTTGGAGGCAGGGGTGAAGAGTCCTTTATATGTGGCTCTTTGCCCGGATCCTCCTGCGAGAGAAGAGAGAGAAGAGAGACGGAAAGACGAGAGACAGAGAGGAGAGAGAGAGAGAGGAGAGAGAGATGAGAGAGATGAGAAAGAGATGAGAGAGATGAGAGAGATGAGAGAGATGAGAGAGAGAGAGAGAGACAGTGAGACAGTGAGACAGTGAGACAGTGAGAGTGAGAGTGAGCGAGTGCGGCCGCAAGATACGCCGACCTGAAAAATCAGGGGTTAGGATTTGCACCCGGTCGAAAGAAACCTTGCTATCGCAAGAGTAACTCCAGCTAGCTTCGCTAGCTTTCGTGATATACCTATATAGCGCTTCCTGTCTGGGTGTCCTGTCTGGAGACCTTTTATAGAAGTGTGTATACAAGTGCAGGGTTGCCCAGCCAGGTGACCCGTTGGAAACAGCTTGTAGATAGCAGTATATTATCGAGGAATGTAAGTATATATACGAGTATATATATTGACTGGCGGTTTGAGGATGATCAAGGATGCCAGGTGTTGGGAAGCTCCTAGTTCAGTTCATAAAAGGATTTGGGCCCACAGTCAGATGGCCCACTGGAAGTGTCTTTTTCAAACACATGCACTTCCATGTCCTTCCAAAGGTGGAACGTACCTATAGGCAACTTTGCTTTTTCACACGCCGTTAGAACTGGTGCTTTCTTGATCAGGTGGTGCAGGTCTGGATCACTCTGGATCACTTCTGCACTGCGAACTCCATGAAACACGAGTTCGATCCGGCCTCGCGCCACAGTGCGAGGCCGGGGCGCCCGCAATGAGAGGAAATTAGAGACCCGCTGACCAGCTGACCATGCACTTTTTCCCAATGATTTTGAAGCCTTTTCGCTATCCCAAACGTCTCAAATCGACTGAAAGACAAGCAATGTCTCGACATGGAGGTCTTGTCGCGGTAAATCCGAACGCCAGGCACACCTTCGCACCGGGTCCATTCTACTGGAATGAGTTGAAGTGAGGCATCAGTGACTGGGTTTCGGTCCACTCAGGTCCCCACAGCACCGGCCCCATGGACCCTCAGGGACTCCCACCAAAAAGGGAACCACCGAACTACCGAAGCACCGATGGTCATGGGACTGGACCTCCCACCTTCCTTCGTGGCACTGCACGTGGCCCGCGTGGCCCGCGTGGCCCGCGGCCCTGCCGCACTCATCGGCCTCGAACGAACGCGGAGCCATCGCCCAATGGGATCTACCTATGAAAATACACGCCCACTATGTCACTATGACAGGATGGACTCATGGCTGCACCCTGCTCTCTACTATAGTACATGATAGTACATGTGTTTTTTCCCACAAATAAACGACTCGAGTTACTACTCCAGTGCTCGTGGTACTCCATCGTCCGCACCACTGAGCTGAGCACAACGGTTCCTTTGAAGCGGCTGGTCCCTGACGGCGACCGCGGCCAGCGGCGCGAACGTAGTGCGGGTGCGCAGACGCGCGCACCAGAGGAGCTATGACATGATGACCAGCCAGTGATGACCAAATATGCAGAACAATAGGTTGGAGAAGGATGCGAAACATTCATCACGGAAACGTGTTCAATCTGGTTATGATGATCACCCGTGCCCCCTTTTTTTGGGCGCTGGCACCTTCTTGACCACGGGCCGTCCTGGAGGCGCGCCCGCTGCAAGGAAAAGACCGTGTCATGCCATGTTCGTTCCCCATCATCATGTTTGGGTGCGTTGCCGAGCAAGGAAAAACCACAGACGCTGCTTTTGAAGAGGGGCTTTTCTCGTGACCTCCAACGTGCCGAACACGGAAAGCTGACGCCGACACGTCGTCTGTATACATGTGGCACACCCTGTCCGACTCATGGTTCACCTCCAAGCACGGGACAGCTAAATTCGCTGCAAAAAACCATACGAAAGGGACTGACTTGAGGCATTTGAAGCTTTGTCATCGGTGGAAAGCGATTCGATGACAGATATATTATAGCTTTCACTCTAAATCTTGTACGTTCAACAATGATCAAGTTTTAGGAATGTCCATGCACATAACAGCACAAACCCTAAACATCCCTAAACCATCGAAGGGTGAACCATGCATCGCACGTGTGGTAACCTCCAGGAACCACGCATCCCCAAACCGCGCGGTCCCGGCCCTCGCGAACGGCGTCTGCGGCTCCTCCTCCCCTTCGACGTCCGTTCTTCCCAAGTTTGGGTGGCGCCAAAGCCACCTCTGGCGTCTCAGGTGGCACCTTGGCAGGTGTCTCCTGGGCGACTGAAGAAAGATGTCATGTGCCATGACTCCGAGCGGCGACTGGAGAGGACCCTACACCTCACCTACAACAAAGAGCAATGGATAGCCATGGATAGATATGGCCAGCATGGCTGAGAGAATTACCTCAAACAAAACGATCTGTCGGTGGTCTCCGTTCACGGGGTTCATCTTTGGTCCTCCCTTGTGACGACCGTGTCAGTTCTCCAGCGAGTGAACGGAAGAAATGAAAAGAGTGAGAAGAGCCATATTAAGGAAGTACCAAACGTCTTGAAGACAGAAACCCCCTTCTGACCATGAAAGCATATGAAAGCCATTTGGACCTCCTATGCCTGGCTGAAACTCTGCGTTGAGAGATTTGCCAATGGCCTTGAAAAAGGTGGGGAACTCGCCTACCTACCATTGATGGATCCATTCGTTTACCACTCATCATACATGGAAAAACGGGAAACCGCAAACGTCCCACCGCAGTCAAGGACTAAACATCCGACTCGATGGAAGGTGTGTCTTCTATCTGCTTTTAGGTTTCGTTTGCTGGTGCAAGATCTGTTTAATGTGTCTTCAAAAACAGACTTGTCTTTTGGCCGGACAGCTGAAACCGCCTCTTTCGCGGCGTAACAGCGTCGACTCCCCGCTTTAGCAACGCCAAGTTCAGCTTCGTTCGATGTCGACGTCAGCGACTCCCCGCGGTGTCGTTCGTTCGGCGCTTGGACCGCCTTGACGGTATTGGTGGGTGGATGTTTCCCCTTTCTTCGTAGCTGCTTTGGCTCGGATTCCTGCGAGCGTGGGCACGGCGTGGAGGGAAGCACACAGCGGCGCACGCAGCGGCGCATTGTTTTCGAGCCGGACCGGGGTGGAGGAGTTGAAGGGGACTGCGAGGAGCGAAGCACCGGGGCGGGAAAGAGGGAGGGAAGCACCAGGATTTATTTTGGCTTGGGTTTCTGGGCCACTCCGAGGACGTCCAAGAATCTGCGAAAAAAGCGACAAGTCTGGACGTCCTACAGCAGCCAGAGCACCGTTCCACATGGAGGTGTGAACCTGGGCCCTAGAAGGCTCGTCTTCCTTTTCCACATGCGAACCAGGACACTGCGGCTTTGAGCCGCAGAATGGCCCAAATGTGTATATAGATTAGACTTGAACTCAAAACCGCACAAAACTGCTGGTCCCCAGATCCATCATTCATGATAAATCCCAGGACAGTTGAGACAGGAGGACTGGAAAACCCCAAGCATCAAACCCACTGTAGCCTGTAGGGCATGCGGGCAGGAGAGGTCTACTAACCTTGCAACGACTCGTCAGGGAATTCTGCCCAAGTTGGATGTGCTTGACAACCTCTCGAGACAAGCGTGCAACTCGGGCCTTGTTGGCCTCCTCTGGAGGTGTGCAAGAAACTGGATTCCACTTTTTCTTAGTCGTCTCCGTCTTCTCCTTGGATTCGCCTGCCAGCACACCAATTGTAGCTCTGAAAACTTGGGCACTGCCAGTTCTGCTCAATCTGCTGCTCAGCGGCAATCTTTGCTTGCATCTTTGGGCGGCATAGGCCCCCCTGTGAGCTAAACAAATTCATTTTAACTGCATGAGCCAGGTGGGGCCGGCGCATGACGACTCGACCGGTCACCAGACCTCGAGACCAGACGTCGAGATGTCTGGGGAGTCTCCACAGATGTGGATGGGGGTGGGGGCCCTTCAAAGGAGTTGGCATGAGAGTATATGAGAGTCATGTCGAAGAATAACAACCTGGGCAACCTCCCTGATAAGTCTTCCACTTCCAGGATGATCACAGTCTTCCAAGATGATCACTCTTAGATTGAAACGGCTCAAAGAAACTCACCCCCGTCCTTTTTTCGCCGAACACGGTTCGCGTCGTTGACTCAGTGGCCCGTGGGCGTCGCGTCGTGTGGAAGCACGGCTTTTCACCACGTTGGAATCGGATTGATGAAAATGTGAGACTCTTGGGTTCGCACCCAGTGATAGAACCTGAGTGGCCGCGGTTCGAAAAGAGTCTCCCAGCTCCTTTCAGTGGGAAAAAACAACAAACAAAGACAACAGCATAGACCCCAACTGGTTTGAGCAGCATCATTTTTGGGGCGGTCAACTGTTTGGGCAAAACCCTCCAAATGTCCCGCGCTGCACGACGACTTGACCGATGCCGATTCCGGCTGTGTGGTCTCTCGGGGAGCCCGAACTGAGCAATGACGCTGGTGGAGATGCCGCGAGGAACAGAGAGGAAGAGCTGATAGTCCGCGGCCATGGACACATAGAAGCACCTGACGAGTCATCACCTTTCACATACCTTTCTCTCTCTCTCTCTCTCTCTTCTAAGATACTGTTGATGGACAAAATCCTGCACCACTTTGCGCACACATTTCTTGCTGCCCTCGTTCTCCCTTGTTAACATTGGGGCCACCACAGTGAGAAAACCAAAACAAGTTGAAGCTCCAAAATCCTGCACCACCTCCTCAAAGGGGTCGCGCCGACATTGAATGAGGGGGCGCGGGGGTTGCTATGCGACTCTTCCAGGGTAAAGTGGTGAGGTGGTGCAGGATTTTGTCCATCAACAATAGTGACATGTAAGGCTCCTGCCTCCCAGTTGGCTTCAAGTTTTGGTTGGTACCCTGGCACCATCTTATTTTCTTCATGCAGGAAGACCTCATGTGTCTGGCACCCTCTAGGAAAATCTGAGGTACCCTGTTTGTTCAGGGTCACCCCCAAAAGACTTTAGACTGAGACTGAGACATAGTGATTGCGAATGGTTCACACTCATTTACGGTGGTTTCAGAGTAGATGGCTTTTCGGCACCCCACATGTCTTGGTTCTGGGATGGTGGGTGAAGTTTGCACCGTTAGTTACTTGGGGGACTGCATTGGCGCCATCGAACCTCGGGCATTCCCACCCTTCTTCGGCGAATGGAGGGATGCTCTCGGTGTAGCATGGAGGCTTCCCCAACCCCACTGGAGTGGATCTGCCCGTCTCGCTGGGTCGCTGGACTCATGGTTCGTGGCCACGCAGGTCTGACACGGCACCTCCGTGCCCGTGGAAGAGGTGTTCACCGACGCAGACTCAGTAAGAACCAGAAACAGTTCTGGTTATTCCAATATGGCGCCAGCTTGCGATCATGAAAAACAGTGGCTGGGACTGGACAAGAATGGACCAGGAAGAAAAAGCAGATCTGTCATGTTGGTCTTTTAATTCTTTTTGTGAGTCTGAGACTGGATTTCGGTTTCGTCTCACCAACACCTCACATCGAAATCAGGTGGGTCCACAGAGATTCCATAGACTTGGTTGATCCTCCTGACCTATTGGGATATATCGGGCTGCCTGTTGCACCTTATAGGAAAAAATGCTATAATAATTGATATATAATTGGTTGATATATATATATATTATATATATATATATAATGAATATTGGTTGTACACTTGAGGGAACTTGAGGGTATTCCCTCTATTAGTCAACCAACCGAGAGTAAAAAGAAAGGCCTATATACTTATATTTGGAAGTCACTGTCTCGATTGGGGTCCGACTCACTGGACTTGGAGCTCGTTCGGCCGGGTCAAGGAAAGTCTTCCCCAAAAGGGGAGTCACTTTAAAACCATCCACTTCCACTTCCAGAGTGAGTCAGAGAGGCCCACTTGAAGGATTCCGTTGGATTCAAGGCTCATCGAACCCTCACCAGGCAGCTGTTCCCCCGAAGCCCCAAAGACCCGACGCGACGAAGAAACCCGCCCACCTTCGCGGTACGCATCAACTGCCGACATCGCCCGTAGTTCCGGAAGAGCATCTTCACGCGCTGTCGAGAGCGGTAGGGCCTGAAGGAAAGAAGAGAACACGTGACTTCGGCCAGGTATAGCACCGGAAACATCAGCAGAAGAATTGCTAGTACAGCAAGGAAACATCCTAAGCTGATGTTGACGTCTGATGCTCCAAGAAAAGAGCTGGATGGGGTCGATCCTTCATATCCGTTCACTACAAGTATAGGGCTAGAATGGGCGCCCGGATGGTGTTTTGATCATCAAGAGTCTCAACAACTTTGGCAGGAGACAGACTGCAGTCTAGGATTCCGGCTCTGCGATCTGTGATGAAAAATATTGCTGGAGCGTTGGCACATAGTACCTGTGGACGCCACAACTCACTCGCTCGCTGCATACCTCCACGCGTCTCAACACCCCACCCCACGGCACCATCCGGTCCATCGTTTCTGCAGCACATGTCAAACGGTCCATCCGTGGTTTCACCTGGATCCGTGCAGCTTCTCCATCTTCTCCAAGGACAACGTCCCAATTCCCAGGTCCACGACCCATGGGACTGTCATAGGACTGCCGATCAGGCCAGGGGTGGTGGTTACTTTGGGGGGTCAATGGGGCGGCAGTCCTATGGCAGTCCCATGTGTCGTGCCTGGGATTGAGTTCATGCTTTTTCTGGGTCTGTCCAGTACGAACATCTCCCGTCTGACCCTGTCACAACTATCTGCAAGTGAGTGACGCAGCATGAATGATCCCATCGAGTAGCCTGGCAGTGAAGTCTCTGCGGGCAGACTCGGCCGGGGCCAGCCGATCCGGCGACTGGTGTGGATGGAGACGAGACAAGCGACATAGCGGTATGGCACAAGCATCAAACAGACCGGACCTGATGTTCCTTTGCAACGCAAACATGGGCAGAAGTAAGGGTTTTGAGGGCCACTGGTACCACGGCAGAAGCAAATGATGATCAACATGATCTTACTCACTCAGCTCCTGTCTTCGGATGGTGTTTTTTCACTGTTTCTGCTGCATAAGCTTGGAAGATCGTGAACGAGGTCATACGAAGTCACATCAAGCTTATGCATCAGGACCCACTGCCGGACACAAGTCCTTTGTCTTGCAAACTCGCCGAGCCAGACGGCCACTGTCCCACAGAACCAGGCACCTGAGTCGCCCATCTGCGGTGATGAAAGTCGCCGGTGATGTCAGAGCTAAGGAAAAACCTTGCTCAGCATCATGCTTATAGTCAGCTCTTGCAGGGTATTCACACAAATGACACCAGCCTCGCCCCAAAATTCTCAGGATCATTTCTATACCCATCGTCAACCTATGAGAATCCCCTCCAAGCGGATGGGTCATGGGGAGACTTGCTCCCAAATTCGGCCTTGCCAAGACATTCGGCCTTGACCTTCAAGTGCCCCGTGAGGCCCTGCGAGCCAGTTCTTGTTCTGTCCGAAGCCACCCATCCAAACTCCAAAAAAAAAGAACGCCTAACCCATCAAGAAGCCCAAGAAATGGCGAACGAAGAAAGCTTCAGACAACGACGTCCTTCCTCTTACGAACGAAGAAGACATCCCGGACCGGCGCCAAGTCGCCAGCAGCGCCGCTCGACGTCCTCCACGGCTCTCGGGACTGGCCGCGAGCGGGGACTCCGCGGCCTGGGGACCGAGCCGCGGCGGTCCGCGACCGCCCGGTGGGACGTGAACTGGCATGAACTCGCCCTGCTGCCAGGTGAAATGAACACATCCAAGTGATTCCAAGCTACCAGGAGAAAATCAGAGGTGGATCTAGATGATCTAGTGCTGCCCAACGTGGGACACTCGTATTCAAACAGCCTGACCCAAGAACCCGAAAGAAACACGCTAACCGAGCGGTCACAGTGAGCGGTGTTCAGTCGGGCATTCATCGAAATGGGTCGAGTCATGTGCCAGGCTAGGCTAGGCTCATTTGTCATCACAAGGATAAACCAACCTGGATCTTCCCTATACAAAAGTTATGCCGACCTGGCCGTTTTGTATGGATGAAGATACAGATTTCTGTTGCACAGATTGGAAGATCCACGTATACATACGTATACAGATGTATACAGTAGCACTTGAACCCCGCCCGTTCCCCACCAATCAACCCGAGTCGAGTCACGAGTCCCCTCACGAGCCGAAGCAAGCGCTTAGTATCCTAAATGGATCAAAAAGGAAAGCAATTCCAAAGTCTTGGAAACTTTTCCCTGTCGCCGTTCCAGACTGTCGCTTTGCGCCCATCCACTCACCAACCCTGGGCGGCACTACCGTGCTCATGGACAAATCGATGGGGCCTGGCACCGCCGCGAGACGTCTCGCTGCTGGTTGCTTGACTCCGTGAAGGCCGGGCCCCCGGAGGGCGCGTCGAAAGAAATCCAACAGACCGGACACCCCCTGAAGGCCAGAAGCAGCCAGGGCGGCAGAAGGGCGGGGTCCAGTCCAACTCCGGATTTGGTGGATCGACGGGGAAATCCTGAGCTGCTCTCACCTCCAAATAGCGTGGGTAAGAGCAAAAGAAAAACCAAACGGGCTGGGTCGGTATGGTCCACGTGATCATTTTGTTGAACCAGGGCGGTTCAAGAAAGTGGACCGTGACGTTAGCCTACGGAGTCTAGCCAGGACTGAAAAAAAGACCGATTCACAGGAGTCCAGCCTGAATCTCAAGCCAACAAAAGTTCTTTGGGTGATTCGGAGAGTTCGGGGGAAAACAACAAACGAAAATGAATCTGGCCAGCAGAGCTCTTTGCAATCGCTTCTTGGATATATTCCATGCAACCACGCCTCAGTGGATGGATCCGGATGGTACCATAGCAAGGCACGCTTCATACGCGCCAAACATGCGCGAAGAACACCACATTCACTGCCTACCCCCAACGCTTCGGCGTCTTATTTTGGACACTCTCTCCCCAATCTGCTCTGTGCGGAAAAAAAAAATGAAAAAAAAAAACACAAAATTCCAGGCGTCCCAGGCGTCCCCCACGTCGCTGAAAGCGGGTGGGGAAACGATCCCATTCCATCCCATTCATCCGGAATTGACACACCGACCAATGGAATTCCCGACCAAATGACCTTGATGGACCCCCGAAGGGTCCCCGAAGGGTTTGGGTCCACGACGAGGTCATACCCACGACGGTAAAACACCACTACTTGGAGTCATCAACCATGCTCCGAGCGGGGGATCTGGGGGGGGATCTGAAGGACAACTCCTTCAAGCGGAGTTCGACTCCGAAATAGGAGTCGAAAAAGGCATACCTGCGTCTCAGAAGTCGCCTCCGTCTTGGAAGTCGCCTCCCTGAGCAATAGATTGGCTTCGTTGGGGGGGGCGGCTTCATTGGCGATCCATCCCACCCAGCAGTCAGGCTCCCCCAGCTGCTGCAAGGTCTCCTTGACCTGGCTTGTGGCTTGTGGCTTGGGATGGGAGTGTTGGTTTGAAAAATGGGCGCCCAACTTGGTAAGCATAGATTGCTAGAGACTTGATCAAGATTCCATCCTGTTTAAGACTCATTGTGATTGTGTGTTTGGCAAACCATGTCAGCGTTGCAGCAGCTGCTTGCTGCGATATGGCATAGAACTGCTCACCATCCGATGCCGTGGAAAGGAACACGACTCCGATTTCAGATCCTGACAGTGACTCCGTTTGTACGTTTGGGTCTTCTGGGGGAATTGGTGCAAGCACATCATAGTCCGACGATAGTCCAAATGTCCGATCCATTTCGACATACAGCTCTCCTTTCCAAAAAATGAAGTCATTCATTGCGCACAGCAACTGTATCTAAGATGAAAGGTGTGTGACCGGCGCTCATGCAGTCGAGATCACGTTTGCCTTCGATGAAGGAAATGTAGGCATAGGCGAAGCCCTCAAATAGCAGTTGGGTTGGTCGAAGCCGTCATGACATGAGCACAGTAAGACTAAAATTATGAGTCTTCAAATGAGGATCTATTCACAGGAAGATCCGATCCCCATGTGGGAAAGAACCAAACAGAACGATCTTACCAGGCTTTCAAAGGTTAGCTGAAAAGAAATGGTCGAAGTTTCTCAGAGTCTTCTGCATTCAGTACCCAGTACCCTCCTCCGAGAATCATATATCATATAGACTGTTGGTTCATAAACCCCCCGCTACCAAAAATGGTGGTACATCTCCAGCCTTGAGGGGCTTGCTTCTTGATCAATCGTCGAAGTATCTGACTTCCGTACCGAGTACCTCCGGCATTCCAGCAGACCAGCGAGTACCTCCGGCCGCCGCCTTGTCGTTGTAGCGGCTCAGGCAGACCGGGATCCAGGACTCGCCCGTTCGCAAGGATGCTGAGGACATGATGATGTTCACCACCATCCCTCGAGCGTCCGGGTTCTTCAAAGAGCGGGTCGCGCGCAAGCGCGCGGTGGCCACCGACCAAGCCGCTCGGTTGCTTGGGTCTTCTCAGGTTTTTGGAGGCTCACTGTGTGCTTGTGTGCTTTTGGTTCATGTGTCTTTTTGGGTAATGACTTGGATATTGAAAGATGAAACGCCTCAGGTCGCCATGTAATCAAAACATCTGAACTTTCAGCTTTCAGGAGAAAATGACCAGGTCGTCAAGTGAGACATGTGGCCCATGTGGCCCATAATGTGGTCAAGCCAATTTGGTCAGGACACTCAATGAAACCCCGCATCCATCAGGACCCGCGGTGTTTATCGGCAGCCTAAGTTCAGCGAGCTCATCTGGAATTGCCTCACGCAGGCAACGAAAAAGGGCTGTGCTTGCCATGAATCTGCCTGAGTCTGGTCAAAACTGGGTGGTAAACAGAAACCGAAAAGCACACCGGAAGCTTGATGGTTCAAAGCCTCTGTTCATGGTTCATACCCTCTATCATGTTCGCTGGAGCCACACACGCCGTCTGCGGGTCCCAAGACCCACCGGTGCAGACCGCCCCTCCTGTTGGAGACCGCCGCCAGCAGACGCTGTCCTGCCTCAAGGCGCCGTTTAAAACGCCGCCAGACCCGATTGAACATCCCAACCACAGGAACAGAGACGAAGAGTGGGCAGGGTGAAGCACTAAGTCTAAGTGAGTGAGATCTCCTTTTCCCGGAAAAATGCTGTGAGCTGTTCTCTGGACAGCTCTCTGGACCCAGTATTATTCCGACATATTCTGACATGCCGTTACATGCCCCTGTGTCGACCCCTATGCCCAAAAGTGGCAAGGGTCCCATTTGCGACACAAAATCTGACTCATTTGTGACACCAAACTGGACCTAGATTGGACTCATGTGCGACACCAAATCTGACGCATTGGCGACACAGCATGGGTTTAGGGTTTAGGGTTTTAGGGTTTAGGGTCACCTACTCTATGGGAACGTGCGTGATGAAGAGATACGCGTCACAACCGAGCAACCGCATCATCCGAGAAAAACGGTCCGTGCTGTGTTACATCTGAGTCCGATGGAAACCGCGTCACCACCGAGACCCATTCCCCCAAAAGTTCTATATAATGCCAGCTCTTCTCCGGATCCAGCCCAACAGGAAACCCAGTCCTATCAGGTGCGCTTGCAACCTGCTGAGCTCCCCTGCCATTAAGAATGCGAAGAGGACATTTGGCAGTCGAGCAGATTTCAGGGCCTGCCGTGATCAAAAGGGCATCAAAGGGCACCTCCAACCCACACACCCCCATGGGGTCTCTTCAGCCAGAAGCGAGAGATCGGGATGATTGGGTGAGTTCGAATGAGGCACATCCAGTATATGATGAGCACTCGCATCCAGAAAAGCATGCGAGTGATGTGATCTTTAGGAAGGGCTATCAGTTGAGCTTCACCCTGAGTTGGGGGTTCCCTTCCTATTTTGTTCAATCACCCCCAAGTCTCTTCAATGTACCGAATGCCTCCGCCGCGATGGCGCGAATGCTCGGAGGCAAAGGCAGTGGCTCGACGCCCTCGCATTGCAAGAGCATGTCCTGGGGTGGCTCGACGCCTTTGGACCGTTGGACCGTCCACCGGGTGGTCACATCATCGTTCCAGTGTGGATCCCTAACAGGGTGGATGGCATGACCACTGGAACGATGATGTTCCTCAATACAAAAAAGGGGGCCATGGATCCATATGGATCCATGTTTCTCGGAGGGAGAGTACAGCATGACACGTTGGCCAACGAGCTTTCATCGAACGTCACATGACCAGCGACGTTGTCTTATTGCGATGACACGTTGATAAGACTTGAAGAGGAAGTCCATGGCTGCTTGAGGGATCCAGCGAACTGGGTCGACCGACTTCCGCGAGGCGGCAGCATTCGGAGACCTACACTGCTTCGGACAAAGAAAAGAACAAAAAAACAACAGCTGGCTATGAGTCGAAGGCCTATTTGGTGAACATCAACAAAAAAGAACACCATTCCATTCAACCTTCTACCTGGAATGTGGTTGCTTTGAGATACTTTGCCTCCAAAGGGTCTGAATTTGGTTCCAAACGGTGTCCAGCCAGTCGCGAGTCGCCCTGCCCAGTCACGAGGAGTCGACGTCACCAGTGTCCAAACAGTTCAAGGACGCCCTGCTGACTTATGAATTTGCTTGATGGAACTGGGCAAAAAATACCAAACATATTCCCAGTTCTGAGGATTTTTTGGTATAGATCAATGACCATCCGGTCAAGCGGTTCGTGGGGGTTTCTCACCACACACCAAGCTTGGGTCCAGCCACTTCGTTCCTTCCTTGGTATGCGTTCGTGCGTTCGCGGCCAGTCACCGAACATCTCACACTCAGCTCCTGTGCGCACCATCGAATGATATTGTTCACCACTTGTTCAGTACCTGCGCGACTTCTCATGGCATGCCATGAGCCACTTACTGAGGCTTCTCTTCATTCCCACTGTCCACCACTTGAGTCCATCATTGCTTTGACCCCAGCTCACCGGGAGAAGAGAAACACCTCACGCCTCCGACCCCTCCACGTCTCCCCGCGAAACTCCCCGCGTCACCCTCGCGTCGCCAACGTCACCGCTCTCCGCTCTCGGTTCTGGCGCGGAGCGCGCCTCCGAGCAAACCTCGCATGTCGTAGTTGGGCCGGTTCACCAAGGTCTTCTCCTCACCGGTCGCTCCCGGACATCTTCTCCGGACCGGTCGCGGAGGAGTCGCGGTCCGCGGTCCGCGTCGCACACGGGCGGACCGGTCGGGGCACCAGAGGGGCGGCCCTAGTCCCAATGGGTGGAGATGTCTGCCGAGCAGGTTGGATGAGGCTGAGCAGGTTGCCACAAACGAGGGTGAAAGATGTGGTGGTAACACAGAAGAAACAACAACAGCAAAGGCCACAAAAGCTGCACAAACAGGGAGAAAATGCGTGCCATTCTGCTTTCATTCAGCTATCCTTGGGATCCCTGACAAATCTAGACCTGCTCGCGGTGGGTTTCGGCGTGAAACTCGACCTGCTGCCCAAGGAACAATGCCCGCCGTCAGGATGGTGATGATTTGCATATGCACACGCCTCGAGAGCTCAGCCCCTCCAAAATGTGAGTCCAAACAACGAAAAAAAAAAACACCGAACGACATCCGACCGTCCGCACCGCAGATCGACGCGTCTCCGCCGTACGACCATACGGCGGCTCCTGGACACGGGTCTTGGCGTGCCGAGGGCCGTGCATGGAGGATCACCCAAAAGGCTCGTTCACTGGCCAGTATGTTTGGGTGGGTATTGGATGGTAGACTTGGGAAGTGGACCCTTCAATCCCTTTGGTTCTTTTGGGCTGTTGGATCAGGGGTCAAGGTTGGCTTGGAGTCCCCCTCCACATCATGTTGGGCATCCCCTCTTCAGGAAACCCAGGTCAGAAGAAGTGCTGATCCACTCCTCTGGCCGAGTCGCTCAAGAAGGCCCACCAAGTCAGCATAGAGGTCCCCGGTGCAGGAAATGCACACTAACCTTGTGCCGCCCGTTGGCGAGGACAGGTGAGTGAGCGAAGGTCGGGTGACAACACGGCGCCGGCGCGCAGTTCCAAACGCGGTGCCAGGTCAACCAGTGAACGGAGGAAGGGACTTTGGTCGGAAGTTGTTGCTACTTTTGCGTCAACCTATCTGGGGCGCTTGCACCAACCACCGTCATGCCGGCGTGGGCCAAATGGGCAGGTCCAAGATCGAAGCAAAGTGCTTGACTGGGTACAAACCAAACAAATAGATTATGTCTATACCAACCAAACAGACAGGGAAAATATCGTTATGCCCATGGATGTTGAAATGAGTTTCTGCAAAGACCTACGGTTCCCATAGCACTTTGGCCCAGGCTGGTAGCCTCACATGAGGTCATCTGTTAGTGGCGGAGGAGGGGACTGGACTGGCATGTCTCTCATCTCAACTGGCAAGTGACCACAATGGGCCCTTCTCCAAGAAGGCAAAGACGTGATCGCCAGCCAACATATACCTCACGCGGCGTGGACCGTCCGACGTGATGCCGCTCATGTTCGTGCACACATGTGAAGCGCAGATCAGCATCAGCTGAAGTGGGACAAAGGTTTGAGGTGCAATATTGTGCAGGGTCGGGGCACCAAGACATCTGAGCAAACGTGTGAGCAAACATCTTGAAAGCTCTGTGTCAAACATCTTGACAGGAGTTCTGTTTCAAGAATATTGACATGTGACAGCTCTAAGCAGTTGATTGAAACACATAATCCCGAGCCTGCTTGAGTGTGCCCAAGTCAGACAGACTGACAAGCAAACAGACGGACGGACAGACGGACATACAGAGACAGATAGAGACTAAGACAGACACAGACAGATACAAACAGATATAGACAGACACAAATAGATACAAACAGATATAGACAGACACAGACAAACAAAGAGAGAGAGAGAGAGAGCACATCAACAGCGGCCTATGGCGGCCTATTGTCTTCTTTGAGAGCATGTTTAAACATATACTGTGTCTGGTGTGTCCACTTCTTGAAGATCCATCACATATGTACAAGTTGTGAATTTGTCCAACTTTAATGCACTATTCAGAGCTGTTCATCAAGTGCGGCAACTGCGGCATGTTCCTTTGCAGCTCATCAACCTAATTATACATTAGTCAATTAGTGACCAGCAGACTAGACCAAAAGCGAAGACCACCCTACTGTTACTACACTACACTCAAATGATATGCGCCCTTTTTCGTGCATGAGATATCCATCTTTCATCCCTTTGTTGCATTCTGTTGCTGTGTCCACCATAAACAAGTATAGATCGTATTGACACACGGACTCGCTCACACGGACTCGCTCACACGGACTCGCTCACTCGGACTCGCTCGTCCTCCCTCGTTCCCACGGAGCTGTCGGTCCAGCGACCGAGCTGGACCGGTCCGGTCACCTCAAGCAGTCGCTGGAAGAGGTGCCGTTGAAGAAGAACTTCGCCATCTTGGACCTGGAAGGATCGGCGCCACCGCGCAGCCGCGCGCCCGATGGCGAGTATGCGCGAGTCGGTTGTCGGTTCGCAAGACTGGCGTTGGGTGGGCGGATAAAGGTGGGTTGAAAGCCGGCCTGGCCTCAGTAAGCTGGAGCTGTGACTGTCACAGGATGGCAACACGCTTTCTTCAAGGAAGCGGTTTCTTCAAGGAAGCGGTTGCACATTCGAGAAGAAACCAGCTGCATGACTCGTTTTTAGAGGCCTTCGTGGAACATCGATTTCACCGTGAGAAGGGCCATCCCTAAAATTTTTACGGGGGAGACTTTGAAAGCAGATTCCAAAAGAAGATGCTGTTTGGTGCTATCATCCGGTGGATTGAAAAGGGTTTTGTACATGAGCTGGTTCTTCTTCCGAGTTACTATCTAGCTGGTTCGGAAAAAATCTGCAAAGGGTTCTTGAAGGCATGGGTGCCTTCAGGCGAGCAATCCACGTGCCGGCTGGGTCACATCAATCTTGCCCTCCTGTTCTCCCGGTCTCCAATTGAGCAAAAGCCAACCAAAGGGTATATGTGGGTCAAAACCAGGGCACGTGGTTGACCCTTGAAATGAAAAAAAAGAACTAAAATCAAGGGATGTCACACTGTCAACCTCACAGGCATATATTGTTGTTAGCTACCGAAATCGGAGTTCGACTTTGAACTGTCATTCACTCACAACACCACATATTCCATGGCTTCATGGCTTCGGATGTTCGTCTCTCAACCTGTTTTGCAGAGAAGACACTGACGGCATCTTGTTTCAAGACAAAACCGCCAGAATCAACACCAGAATAAACACCGATATCAACCGATACTGAATGGCCTTTTTGGCATGAAAACATAGCTCTCAAAACCTCCGGGTGAAGCCCAGGGATCGAGAGCAGAACACCCCGTTTCAACGGCCACACGCACGGTGCTCCGCTCCGGCTCGGTCTGGGCGCCCCGGGCACGATCGCCGACAAGGCCCCAGTGGTGCCACTGAGACCGTCCTGGTGAGGACCGGCTGACCGTTGGAGGAAAGAAAGCTGGCAGACCCTACAATGTCTAAAGGGTCTTGCAAGACCACGGGGGTCTTGCAAGACATGGGGACGAGCCCCATGGATGGTGTGAAAAAAAGATTATGATGCAATATGATGCAATGGAAATGATGTACAGTCCATCTCCGTGCCATTTCTCAAGAAGTATGAAAGAATCCTGGCTCTGCAGCTGGATGTACGTGTTTTTGTTGCTTTTGCTAAGGAAGGGGTGAGGAAGGGTGAGGACACCTACAAAACCATTTCTGCTTGGCCCAAAAACTGCTCAAAACCGCTGTCCGTCCCTGTCCTCCTCTCCGTATCGGGAATAGACCGGCTTCCCACTGTAGGTGAAGACCTTGTGACGCCAGGAGGTCCCAGCGTGGGAAGCCCGGGGTGCTTTGCACGAAATGGACTGATGACTGGCACTGGACTGATGGCACTGGTCCTTGGGAAGGTCTTACGGACCTCATTTGACTGGGTTCAGTCATGCAAAACCAGTACTCAATGAAGCAAAGCACCAGGTATAAACGTGGTCCTTGCAGTAGGGGAAGCTTCATTTCAATGAACCTCTTGGACTCTGCGCCATCTATCTACCGAAGTCGCTTTGTTTTCGTCAAAGCCCGCTCCTCTTCACTGACCCGGTACGGTGCCGTCTCCTCCGTCGCACGCACGGTTTGCCGCGCAGACTGCTGGTCACGGTCTCCGCGATCCGCGGATCAGGTGCCCTGCCAGGACGTGGCGTTTGTGCAGATACCTGCGACGGTGACGTCTGGACCGACTCCGAAGGGGATCGAGCTCAAGCTGCGTTGGTCCAAAGAGGTCAAAAACGGATGCCAAATGTATCGAAATGGGAGAAACTCGGACGAAAGGCCTTTGGTTGAGATGATTCTGGACCTGAACCTTCAACATTTGTCCAATGGAGGTCCCTTAGTAGTGTTGGGGGGCTTGCATCGGTGACCCCATGGTGCCCAAGCCTTCAGACGAGTCACCATGAAAGACGAGTGTTCAAGCATTTGGCCAAAAAATCATGCCTTCTCTTCCTAGGAAAAAGACTCTTGACCCTCGCAATTCTTCAAATTCCCAAACCACTGGCAACACTCCGGAGACGTCATGTGGGTACATATATTTTAACAGGGAGACCTCCCAAAGACCCCCTGGAAGAAGGAAACTAGACCAAACGCCCATTGGTTGGGGATGGTCGGGGATCTCCATTGTTAAAATACACGCCTCATGCGATCCTCAGCAGCAGCATCACTGCGCTGCTGCAAAAAACATCAGAAACACGGCCGCCCAGGGGCACCACTCTTTCGTCTCGTCCGTCTCTTCCCGGCACTTCCGATGGGGCTTCCGCCAGATGCGATGGCTCCTCACCCGAGCGCGCTTGCGAGCACGTTGCGAGGCTGCAGAAAGTGGTATGAAGAGGCTCCGACAAGGAGACTGAATGAAAAGAGTGCCTCCGTTGAACAGTTAAAAGGTATGTTCAGCATTGTTCAGCCATGACGTGGAAAAGATCGTGTCGATGCTACCCTTTGGCTTTGGGATATCTCTCTTTCCTGTTTTCTGTGGACGAAGCAGCAAACCAGTCTCACGGAAGTCCAAAAGTGGCCATTTCAACCCAGTTCACACACCTACGGAAGCTCTGTGACTCTCTCTCTCTCTCTCTCTCAGCTCCAAATTCCCAAATTCCTCACAATTCCTCACAGCTTCCTTGCCTGTGAAGTCAATCCTCCCTCCAAAAAGCCCCAAATTCCCCACTTTCTTCGCCCCCGACACGGGGAGCCGCACGACACCCGACCGACACGGGGAGCCGCACGCATCACTGGCGGAGGCGAGCGAGGGCAAGAGCGGCCGCGAAGGACCAGGGTCCGGAGACCTCGTGGCGAAGCCGTTCATTTTGGGGAACCTGGCCTTACTAGGAACAAGAAGCTACTAGGGAGGGCAGAAGTGATGTGTCAAAGTGGCCAAAGGATCACTTCTGCATAGAGAAGCCCCGAATTGAAGTGGAGCCCTGAAGTGCGAGGTGCTCCAGATTTCGGACCAGCCCGATCTGATTTGGGATACCTTGAAGATCTTCATCTGCAGATCAAGATCAAAACCCCAAGAGCCCAAGATCAGGAGTGTCTGCTACCAAACCCCCAAGAGCTGTGCTGCACTGCCACTCTGCGAGAAGAGGGACACCACCACACCACAGCTGGGAAGCGTGCTCTCCGGGCACCGGCACCGTCTCAGCCTCGACAGCCTCGACCGCCAAGCAGATTGAACTTCGACAGCCAAGTGTGGAGAGGCGAATGATTACAAAAAAGGATATATATATATATAATATATATATAATATATATATAAACACAAGTGGCAACAACCTGTGAAGTGAAGTGGAGAATCAATCAAAACGTGCTTCTGCCCTTAAACGCCTGTTTGTGTGGCAGCCTTTTTGGTAGGTCACAAAGCAATTTGAAATGTGCCCACTGCGCCTCGGTGGCCTCGGTGGCCTCGGTGGCCTGGGCGTCCTCAGGGTGGCTGCGGGGGAATTCAACCGACCCAACGGGTTTGGGTTCGTTCCAAGGGGTGTTTGGCTGCTCCCCTCACCAGCCCAGAAAAGAAGAAAAGCGAAGTTGGAAGTCGGACTCACGTGGAGAAGGGAGGAACTCCCAAAAAAGAAAGATTAGATGCCACAAAGATGGTTGAAACATGTTGAAAATGAAACCGACGCTGCCAGAAGAAAAGACAAAAAAAGCAGGCACCTCATGCTCTGAGGCACAGTCTTGCCATTCCTGTCGAGGCAAAAAAAATCGGTGAACTCATGTGAACTTCAGGGATGCACCAGGGGCATCTGTCTATTTTCTTGTGTGATCCCCAAATAGATGACACTCACGGTGTCCCAGACATGTTCTACGTGGGGATCTACTGGCCAAACCCATCACCGTTCCGCGCCCACAGCCTGCCCAACCTTCGCTCGCTTGGTGGACGGACGGGACTTCATCGGAGGAGAAGGAATGGTCAAAGAAGAAAGGAAGGCCATGCGTTGAAAGGACCATTCTTTCTTGTTTGGGACGAGGCCATGCCTTCGGACTCAAAGGAAACCAAATTTCCTCCAAATCAGAGACCCCTTTTGGACATCTCAAAATGCGAAAACATTTTTCCTGGTTGATCATCCCCAACAGAACTCACGCGGAAACCCAACGCGAGAACCCAGGTCACTGGTTTCCTAGATCTCTTCTTGTTCTACAGGCTTTCGATGTCTGATACCACGCATAAAAAAGACTCAGTCGCTTCCGGCACCTCAGTGCGTTCGTGTGATCCTGGCCATAGAACACGCGCCGAGTACGTGTTTTCACATCGCTTCGCCAGAAAGAAGGTGGCTCGCTCGAGGCTCTTTCGGCTCTGCCACGGGCATTTCATCTCCAGGCACAACCTTTTTGGTGTGATATCGATGGTGCCCAGTCTTCCGGTCATCGCCCTGTTCAACTCTCTGGACCGTTCGCTTCGTCAGGGGGTTCGTGTACCCGCCCGAAAGAAGGCGGAAAGGCGAGCGTACCATGGTGCAATAGGGTAATGGGCAAAGCGTTAGAAGTGAACTCTATCCCAAAAGTCCAGCTTGGTCCGCTTGGTGATACAAACAAGGCAATTGGAGGAGATGTTCAGTGGTCACGGTTCCTAACATGTTGCCAGCCTTTTCCACCATTGGTTCAAATGGGTATCTGATACAGTAATGCGCGTATCTCTGGATTTCCTAACCCAAGAGCTCCATTCAGAGAGTCCCCAGGCTGAGATGGTTGCGGCGTTGGTCTTCTCATGTCCCCTCTTCGTAGACCAGCCACTGGCAGTTGTCTGGCCCCACCCACAATAAATACTCAGATACTTATTTGGACAGCCCAAACATCCACGTTCGCATCCAGAAATCCTGGAGATGGAAGACCCAAACGACCCAGTTGTCGGAAGTGACGACCCAACGAACCCGGACGACCCCCGACCCCAACGAGCCGTTCGCCCCCGCGCCTGTGGGTCCTGTGGCCGTGGCCGCCCCCTCCTCTTGCTCCTGGCACTGCTGCGACTCACCGCATGTTGACATGTCATTCCATGGTCATGGTTGTTCCTTTTGTGGAGTTGCTCGTGGATCAGAAGCATCAGTTCATTGCACCAATACCCAGACACGACCCATGGGACTGCCATAGGACTGCCGATCAGGCCAGGGGTGGTAGTTGACTGGGGGGGTCAATGGGGCGGCAGTCCTATGGCAGTCCCATGGGCCATGTCTGGGATACGGTTGCTAATGGAAACATCAACCACTTGAAGCGCTCCCTTCTCTCGTGGCCGGGACCTTGGTCGGAACTGACCGACTGGGGACCCTCGGTGTCCGGTTCCATCTGAGTTCATCCATCCATTGGGGAAAAGGAATGCCCCCCCAAAGATGGTCAAACCTGAGAATTCCATATGACAACCAAGAGAGGTCAAGTGACCGTAAATGGTACCCTACTGGGGTACCTATGGGATGGTCTATAGGGTCCTTCAACCTCTGTTAGGCCTTTGCTTAGTTCATCTTGGGAGCTTAAAATCGCCTTGCTCACCTGGACGCTGCACGGACTTCCAGGTGCAGTCGCTGTCGCCCCTTCCGCACCGTGTCCAGATCGTCACTGAAAGGGGTCCGGACGTCCTCCTCTTTGGGTTCGGAGTCTGCAGCCGATCCTCAAAGCGGGTTCTCGTAGACGTGCCAGGGAAAGCAGAGGGAAGCTTGCACTGCTTCCAGACCGGAAGACAAAAAAGCATATCAAACAATAAACAAAAGAAACAAAAAAACTAGAAGGAAAACACCCAAAGACAATGGCTCGTCCTCAATGGCCAGTGTTCCTTCGTTCCTTGTGCTTCTCGAAACCGGTGACCTTTTCGGACTCCCGGTGACGGTGGACTGAAGAACCGTGGACGTGCTCGGAGCGCGTTTGTTCGTTCGTTCAGACGGAGATGAGAAGCATCTCGGTCTCATGGGATGGTGGTTTTCAAGCCCCTAGATGGACTGGACTAGTTACATGGAGGGGGTCCCATCCCGTGAGTGTCTTTTCTCCGAAGACCAAGGTCCAGGTGGTGAACTCACTCACTCACCCACCCACTCACTCACTCCACGGTTCTGATGATGACTTCAGGGAGTGTAGCGAAGGTTTGGGAGAGGATGCGTTCCTCTTCCCTTGTTCCTGCCAAGCGTCCCTCCATCGGTCCGGCAGCTCCATCCAAGCAAAGATGGAGCTGAGGATCAATCAGTTCGAATGGATTTGAAATCATGTACAGGAGAGTCTAGTGAATTCAAGAGATTGAAGCTTCTCACCTGGGCCTAGCCCTCAGTTTATGGAAAGTTTCATGTACTGTAAACAAACCCCGCCAATATGCATTCGCCTACTGCCCCACAGTTCTTCGTGCTGGCTATCAACCTGCCCTGCTATGCTGCAGGTCCTGCAAATGAGCACCAGAGATGTGCCTCCCCCACCTCTAGGTGTGTCACAATGTGTGTGTGCAAAACCATCCGTCTCACTTGTCTCACTTGTGGACTAGCCTGTTCATCATCTTCATCTAGCCGCCAGCTAGCCTTTATATATACCACACCTCATTCCCAAAAGAATGTGACATTGACGCTTGGAAGCTCCACCCTGTCGACGGGTCACGGGCCACGGCCTTGAGGCAAACTCTGCGGTCGGTCCCCCGGTGGGAACCAATGAGAACTACTGGTGGTTTGCTTCGGATCTAGAATCAGCTCAAACGGATCGTTTGGTGTGAGGAAACCAGCGCAAAAAAAACGGCACTTGACTGACTGGTGCTTAGGAATGAGGAAATCAGCCTCCAAGGATCCATTCCCATCCATTCCCTCATTCCCTTCCAAGCACCAGTCACTTGAGACTGAAACGACTGAGTGGTTACACCTTCCTTTTTGCGCGTTGGCCTGCAATGTGAGGGCATGTACCACGCATGTTCCCACTCAGTAGCGATGGTCTGCATTGAGCTTCGGTGCCTCGAGCTGGCGAGCTGGCGTTTGTCATCTTCGATTGCTGACTCACTCCGCAGACGGCCCTTTTTCGGAAAAAAAAGAACGTTCAATTCCAGACCTCTCAAATAGAGAGGAAACACCCTGCAAAAAATGGCCGAGGCCCCGAGTGGGACCAACCTGGGACCAAATGAAAAAGCGCGCCGTTCCGAGTGCCGTGTGCCTTCCAATTCAATGGATGCGTCTCGGGAGTGGCATTCGGATCCTGCGCAGGAAGCCCCCGGGATCCAACGGTGTCCACCCGGATCGTTTCCTTGAGGCCTGCCGTGGTGTGGGGCGCCCGGATCGTTTGGTGTCTGCTGTGGGTCATGGCACCAGACCGACCCTTTGACCTACCCGGCTACGGTCGGACGACTGGCGGCACCATGGTGGACGTCGGTGCAGCTCCGTGTTTTGACTGGCCCAAACGTTAAGCCCGCAAGTCACCAGTCGATCGATCGATTAAGGCCCATGGTCACCACTTAGGTTCTAATTCTCCCCAGCTCTGACAAAGAAGATGTCATGATGCACACCCTTCTGCTTTTAGCGCCGGGTGGAAAGACCGAAAAGCCAAAGCCACATGCCCCGTTCCACATCAACGGCTCGATGTCATCATAGCGATGAAAGACATTCAGCATGATCTTCGCTCGGGCCTCTCGGTAGATCTTCACCGTTTTGTCACACTCTGCTGTGATCAAGCGGCTTCCACTCTGGTCAAGCCTAGGGTCTTCACGAGGCGGTATCTTGTGCGAGGTGAACTCGGATGCTTTCTTTCAAGAGAGGTCAACTCACGACTTCTTTTGTCAGCTCAGTTCCTAGCGCCATGTCAAAGATTGCATTCTCGGCGCCTCAAGACCACAGAGAATCTTCCCACTGCGAAGTGTTCGAAGTGATAAACCTCACATGTCCCGTGTCAACCTCACCTTGATCAAAGCCTTGCCCATTTAACCAGCAATGGATGATGCTCAAACTTCCCAAGAAAAAGAAGACAGGGACATTCAATCGGGCCAGACTGACTTGAAGAAGCAACTTGTAAAAAGCCCGGGTCTAAGGTCTCGGCTCATGCTACCAGGCTGGGGAATGGCCTGGCTTCGTCGATGTCACACGGCTCAAGGATGAAAAACCCAAGTCATCCGAGGAATGTTTGTGTTTTTCTGGCTGGTTCGGGAATGCGTGCGGAGCAAGGAGTGACTGGGATGTGTGAAGTGCATGGAAAAAACATATTGTCTACATATGTGTTCAGAAGTGTTCATTATCATTTGTATACCTAGAACCTGAGTGACCTCTATTTTTGATGGCATCTCCCCCCAACGACAAGGATCGAACTCCTGGCCGGATGAAAGTGGAAGAGCCGACTTCTCCGACCGTGACTGGCCGGTGTCTGCCAGTTTCGTAACATTTCAAAGGATCATCTCTTCCCAAATCGTGGACGAAAATGCTGACGGAGCCTCCAAGCTCTGAAACTTGTGGCCACTTCTCCAATCCTGCGCCCGGTCGCGCCGCAACGCTGAAAAGGCCCAGATTGCGAGATGCTACACGGGGAAAGCGCGATAACCACGTGGTTTTTGTCCATTTCGTCCCATATGATCCCACAAACATCCACATTATATGATATGCTTCGTTTGACGTGGTGTTGAATGGACCGTGTGTAAACCTCCCGTTCCGTCCCTGCGTCCACCCCCACGGAATTCCACCGAAGTCTTTCGGTCGGTCCCAAAAATGCAAATAGCCATTGTCTGTGCCCGCGATGAGCTGAGACGATCCCTGCTGCCCTTCTCGGATCGCGCAACCTCAGTCGACCGACGCCGGCGGGCTGGCTTTGTCCGACATCCGGACCACTATGGATCAACTCAAAGCCATGTGTCCAGGGGGGACCTCAAAAGCCACTGATCGGTTCAGTCTGGTCTGTAACTCGCCTGTTTCAACCTCCTCATTCTCCATGTCAGGTCCAGATATGGCTGTGGGATGCTGTGGGTCCACCAAAAAAAACCACAGAATGGACGACCAACAGGAGGTCAACCGACCGGGGTCTTCGTTCCGGGCTCCAGGTGCCAACCCACAGCCATATATATGATCCCTGTCGAGTTGCAGTTCACGATGGCGTTGTGGCCCTGAATGTTCCGCTCGAAAGCTCCTTTGGGGCACTTCCACACCTGACGTCACCCGCTGACGGTGACTTCCGCACGGCCCGTTGGCCAGGCCACGACACGGACTCTCTGTCGCAGAATAAAAAAGAAACAGCCGTCTGTTCAGGTGGACTCTCCAACGGCTGTCTCACAGAGACAGAGACAGAGAGAGAGAGAGAGAAAAAAAAAAAAAGAAACAATCTTTCCGGCACTCCAACCATTATTTTTGACCATCCCGTGCCCATGATTTGCTCACCCGTATACAAGCACATCATGACCAAGCGAGTCGGGGAATTCTTGTAGTCCCTACTAAAACTAGTGATATATCATTATAGTATATCTTAGTAAATTATATAACTAATTACTAATTAGTGAGAATAAGCCCCTACTCAACTAGTCTAGGGAGGTTTGAGCAGGCTTTGGACTTTCTGTGCTAGCAGAATCTTTGAGTGAGCCTTTGATATAGCGCCGCAGTGAGCATGTGTCAATGAAACACTTCATCAGCTTTCCTGATGTTTGATTTCCGTTTAACGGCTATGGCTTTGGTCAACTCAAGCGAAGCTTGTTGCCAGATGTTGCTAGTAATTTCAACACAAGTTGCAGCCAAATCAGCAAGTGTGAAAACCCTGCGCCTTGTTGTTGTCTGAAGAGCAGGAGACAAAGGTATACTCGAGCGGATGGATGCCCAAAGCCCTCACACTTTTCCTCGGGCTAAGCACGCTCGCACGCACTTTCAGCGAGAAGCCGCCCCCCCCCTTCTGCGCGAGAAGCCGCCGAAAATGAGGTTGCCACAAGTGGACGGTCGGAGGTGCTTGTTCGAACAGTCCTCTAAGGCCGCGGCTTGTGATTGGTTAGGGTTACCTCAGGAGGTGGTTATCGAATGCCCAAATGGGTTGAACCGAGACCACCCTGGTGTGAAGTATTCATCTTCTCTTCTACTTGGGGATGTTCCAAGAGTTGGAGACCCTTTCCACTAGGCCTTCAGTGTCGAGAGAATCTTCAGATGCTGCTCTGCAGGCACAACATGCAGAAGGCACCATGTGTTTGAGCAGCAAACCGGACACCTTCAACGATTGACGAATCCGGGCCTTCTGCACCCGGATTCGGCGACTAAGTTCATGGCCGCACACTTGCCTGCTGCCAGATCCCACAGCCGGACCTTGGGCGAAGGGGGCGTTCGCCGTTGCTGGGGCGAAAATGCACCCAGCAGCTCCGAGTCAAGTGTCAAAATAGTCAACCTTCATCTCTCCTAGTTGCTAGGCTTGGCACAAAGAAGATCAATTTCAAAGTCCCCCCAAAGCCACCTCAAAAAAAAAACGAAAGCCTTAAACAACAAAAAGAAAACATAAGACAACACCCTGACACTTCGGCCTCCGAAGAAAAAAACCATGATCATAACATATCACAACCACCACCACCACCACCCAATATCGGCTCCCTGACGAACTGACCCTGCGGCTCCTCAAGTCCCCTAACTCTCCTCTCCTCGGCTCATTCCCCAACCGCTGTCCTCCCCCTCTCGCGGTCCCCGGGCCATGCGATCCATTGAGCCGCTCAGGAACTGCGGCTCCGATGCCTGGCTCGGTCGAGCGGCGAACGGGAACGGGAACAGGAGAAGGCGTCGTAGAGTAGAGCTTAGCGAGGTGCAGGAAGCTCGCTTCCGGTGTCTGGGTTTTTTGGGTGAATGGTTGATCGTTCACTGCAATGCATCATTTCCAGGTTCTCACTTGGAGAACTCAAAATGTCTCGATCTGCTAGTTCTGCTGCATTTCTTCGGGCTCCACCACTGAAGTTCCCGCTCTCACACGTTGAAGTTCCCGCTCCAACGCCCAGAAACTCCCGCCTGTGAGGCCAGAGAGCAGATCGCATTGGTGTGACCGGTGAACACAAAAATCCCGGTCTTCGTCCGCATGTCCCAGATGCGTACCGAGCCATCGCGGCCGCCTGAAGCCGAAACGCTCCGGTCCGGTCCGGACGTGGGGGTGGCCTGGGGTCCGGGGGGGGGACCGGCACCTGGTCGCGGAGGCCGTGCAAAAGGGATGAAAAGGGTGATGTCAACTGAGAGATTGGTTCACCCCAAAGCGAATTCTGTTGGCACACATAGTCACCCACATGGTCACCCACATAGTTCCACCAGAACAGATGGTGTATGTCACCCTCGTTGTTGGATGTTCTTGGTGGGTCATGTCACCACCCTCACCCGTACCGATGCACCTGGAACCATGAGCAAGCAAGCGGATAGGGTATGAAGTAAACACACCTGGGTGTTACCCTCATCTTGACCCACACCCACACCAAAATCAAAGTGTTTGATGCCGGACATGGGCCGAAAAAAAAGAATTGCTCTGCTCGCCCCTTGTTCAGGTTCACTGAGCCATCCTGCAGCCGACAACCCTCTCTCTCTCACTGTAAAATAGAACTAACATGGATGTGGAAAATGGGAAGACCATGTGTCTCGACAAACAGGGGTTTGTCCACTTCCATGCTACTTCCAGGGAGAGAGTGCGTATATATATATATATTACATTCATTGGTATAACATTATATATTACAATCTAATAACTAATTATACATATGTATATATATATATATATTTTTTAATTGCCCATCATATCCCATCATGGCCCATTCCAGCCACCCATTTCAGCTCCTGTAGCCAGGATGTTGAGCGTGGGGTGCAAGACCAAGGTGTAAACGCCACTGAGATGGCCATGGTAATTCCGGATCACCTGGCTCAGCGGTCGTGAAATGGAAACCCAGAAAACTTCCCAAGAAAGAGGGTGAAATGATGTGAAATGACTCAAAATTTGACGCCCACCATCATCAAGTCATCATCCACTGCCAGTCCGGAGTAAAATGAGTCATGACTTCCTGGACTCTCAGGGAAAGGAGAGAACTCTGAGAACCTCATCATCGCGGCGGGTCTTCCAGACTCCCGCAGCATGTGTGAGGTTAGAACGGGAAGGACCAACCAAAAGGAAGACGCCGGTTCCGGGCGGGGTCAGAACAGGGCGGGTCGGCCATGTTCTGCTCCAAATCCCAACACTTCACCTCGCAGTCTTCTGAAGCGCTGAAGAGGTACGGGTGCCTCGCCGCTCCACGGCGGCGCGATAACGCGCGCGCTTCCGGCTTCGGCGGAGGAGTTTCGACCGGCTTCGGCGGAGATCGGAGATGAAGCATGTAGGCGCTTGGATCTATATACCATGGCCGTTATATGCTTTTATTCATCAAGAGTCAAGAGTCTACATCACTTGGACGAATGAAAAGAAATTGAACTTCTACCGACTCAAGAGGCCTGTGAAGACTCCAAATTGCGGGCTGAACAAGACGAAGAGGGATGAAGAAAAAATCGATAGAGCATTGTGGGATGCGCTCATGTCAAAAATCATATCATATCCAATATACTTAGTCATGTTTCCTTGCTTATTATTTGTAGGCATATTCTTCTTCCCTTTGAAACAGCCTCAAGACTCCGGAACCACATCATTTGAACAGACCCCAGAGCCACGCAAGAATACACAAGCCAGCTCGCCTGTCAGAGATAGCCACTGCACGAACGGTGCTCACATGTCCGGTCAATGACAATTTCAGCCTCAACGAGCCCGTCGCGAGCCCGTTGACCCACCAAAGAGGTCAACGGAATGGACGACCAAAGAGGTCAACAAGACTGCCTGAACATCTCAGATGTTCCAAAGCAGTCTGAGATGTTCCAAAATGGCTTGAGGTCCAGATTTTGGAACATCTCAGAACATCTTGGAGCCCTCAGAACATCTCAGAGCCGAACAACTCAGCAAATCAGACTTCTATACCAGCTACACGTCACCGGTCGCAATTCTTTGTCACTTAAAGATTGGGATTTTGAGGGACTCGAGACCTGTCAGAGTCGGATGCAAACAGAAGCGAATGTGTCAACCTCCAAAGTACCGCTGAAGTTCCGTGACAGTGACATCCATCCAGAATTGGCTTAAGGGAAAAGCTGCAGGAAACGCGTGGTTTCCATCATGTGGAGGTGACAAACCATGGTTTTTTCCTGTAGATCTTACAAATGTTCCCTTCAAGCAATTCATTGAATCCGCCATGGTTGAAACCACCCATGGTCCTTAAAAGGTCCCGCTCGGGTCGTTCCCAAAATGCTCGTTTGGCCGCTCGGGTCGACTCGGGCCCCGGACACGCCACTGGCCAGGTCCCAGATCTTGATGAGACGATCATTGCCCGAGGACGCAAACCTTCGGTCTCGAACCGGTGGTGGTTCTTCGAACCGAACGGTGGATAGAAACCGAACGCGACCCCGCAGGAAGGATTGATAACCGCGTCGCAGTTGAAACAGAGGTGGCCGTTGATTGCCACATCCCTTGACAGCTTAGTTGGAAGAGGTTTGGAGCCTTGGAAACCTTCATAAATCTTCTTTGCCTCTTCTTTTCCCCAAAAAACTCTTCGAGTCTGAAAATATCCAACGGAACAAACACCTCCTCGCTGTTGAACAAACTACGCCGAACGACTTTCTTCGTTTCTTCGCCCAGCACGTGCTTTCGCCGTGCGTTCTCAGAAGGATGGACGCGTCCGGACCCATGTGTGGGACTTCGGGGGATGGATTTCAGGACCCCTTTGCGAAGCCCTGCAGCCGATGAAAAATGGGAAAAACGGGGGCGTACCCGGAAACCCGGAAACCCGGTGGTGGGACCCGGGTGCCACCGACGAAAAAACACCGTCGTCAGCGACATGTGCAGGAAGTATTTAAACGAAATGACAGTAAAACACACCATCAAACCTGTCACAGATCAGCCAGAGCCACAACAACACAACTGAAGGAGGTTGAAGAAAAAAAAGTCTATCCACTCACGGATCCAAAACACCGCGGAAAACCCACGGTACGCGGATCCCAAGGGTCGCGGGACCCACGGACCACCGGGATCCCGGTGGAGCAAGTCGGGGTTTGATGCTTACGTAAAACCATGGTTTCTGGGTGAAGGTGGAAGGTGGATAGCCTGGCCTGTGAAACTGCTGGTGGGAATCCAGGGAGCTGTGGTCTGATCTTTGAAGCATCGTATAGGTATAGGTCCTCCTATAGTCCTATGTGTCTTGGGTGAAGAAAAACCTGTTTTCTCCCGGTGCGTTGCCCCTTCTTGTTGAGTCGTCCCCAATCCCCAGAGTCTGTGGAGCTAAGCTCCCTTCGTCCACCTCTTTGGTGTCCCCACCCCAGAGGTGGAACTCGGATCTTCCCACCGACCGCTCACCACTTGGATCAATGTAGATTCTGTCTTGATTATGTTCACACTGTTCACACCCCCCCCATTTGGATTGAAAAACCTCTATGGTGGAGAGGTGAAAGACGATCAGTGGAGTCGTCCATGAGTGGTGCCGCTGCGAGGAAGGTTTCACTGTGGCACCCGCGCCACTCATTGGTTGGGTCCACTGCAACGGTGCGAACCCAGCCCTCATGGCCAGACCTGATGGTGCGAGCAAAGAATTCATATCTGTTCAAGACTGTCCTACTTTCGAGTCGAAGATTCTAGAATTGGCTTTCAGGGATCTTAAGTTACTGCAGGAGTTCCGGCTTTGGAGGTGCAAACCATGGGGTTTTCTTGCCGACTTTCCCTTAAATCTATTCATAGGGGAGATGACAAGGGTACAGGAGGACGTGGTCCAACAGCCTTCAGATTGGCCAAGGTAGAACACCTGGCCAAAACTGCCAATCTGCCTGCCTTTCACTGTGCCATGCGAACCCAATATGTGTGTAAACCTTCTAAAGGAGCAAGCAAATGGCAGAACAGCAATGTCATTCAATCCCATGTTTGTATTTTCTTCCAAGACCCACTGTGAACAAAGAAAGCCAAAACCATCCTCAAAAGCAAAACAAAAAAAAAGCCTCCACCCACGACCCACCGCCCACGACTTGACTGAGCATCCCTGCATAATCCTCATGAGCTTCCAGGGTGGATGCCAAATGGGCTTGGGGATCTCCGGCCGCTCACGCAACGGGCGAACCTGGATCTCCGTGGAGGGATCGGAGACCTTGGGCACCAGCGGCACCACCTGGCAGTGGGCGAGGCGCAGAGGCGCGGTGCGAAGCTCGCGGTGCGAGCGAGCTCTCGGGTGCGCTGGGGCGTTCTGCTCGCGCAGCCGCGGGGCGAAGCTCGGTGCGGAGAGGTGGGTGGGTTTCAGTGACTGGACGCATTTCTTTGACGTCTATACCCCCACCTGGAACTCTGAATCCTCGCAGGTTTGACCGGGGGGGGGTCGAATGCATGGCGGACTGGGCAGGGCGAACCGTGAGTCGAACCATGGTACTCATAAGAATACTGTGCCGAACGAATTAGAAATAGCATCGAAACCCACGGACATTTCACAATACACTATAGGATATAATGAACATAGTTCATGATAGATTTCAGTAAGGGTCCAAGGCCACCCATGCCGCTGTGGCGAATCGGAGCCATCATGAAGGACCCAACTTATGGGCGGCATCGAGAGGGCGCCGTGCCACGCGGCGGGGGCGGTGTTCATATGATATATATATATATATAACTTTAGTAAAGAAGTTATAACACACGTTTTGCGACTGAGCTATCCTTTGCTTCTCCCGAAAAGGGAAAAAAAAGAACGCAACAGCCCAAGACGAGCGAAACGAAACCCAGCAACCCCACAAGCAGGCCATGTGCCACTGGTCCCACCGCAGGACCCGAGGTCTTCTGACCCGTCTCGCCATCCTGAGCCGAAGGACATGAGAAGAGCCGCGTTGGTCGGGAGATGTTTTGTTTGTCGGAATCACTGGCTGCAATCTAAGACGAAAAAGATTAAAAAAAAAAAAAAAACACACACACACACAATCTCTCCAAGAGTGCCCTTTTATGCATCCAAGAAGTTCTTGGATGCTGAAATGAGATGAGTGTCCATACCTCTGCCTACCAACTTCAGGTTTTGACGGTGCTCACATCTCTGGCAAACATGCTGGCTGCGCTGTTAGCATCTGAGTAATAGCTGATGGCAAGGCCTCACAAATCAAGCAGCATGGTTGGGCTGTGCTGGACATGGCTGTCAACGCAGCTGGCTGTACGAATGCAACCATGGCTGTGTGTTTAGCCTCCTGGCCGAGGCGAAGATAGTGCCTCACTCAAAGTGCTTGCTGGGTACTGGAAGTATGTAGTTTCAACAGGGAGACCATGGGAGACCCCCGGCTCCGGGGGCCCTAGCCAGGTCTGTGTTTATTCGGCACGCCTGGGATTCTCCTCCCGAGCCTCGTCACACGAACATCGCAGGTTCTTCCCCCAAGCCTCGCGAGTGGCGTCATCCGCCGGCGCACTACGGAGGAAGGGCAACCTCAGAGCGGTAGGAGCAGCCAGCAGAGCCTCACCATTTACGCTTCTGTCCAGCTGGGTCTGCTGGGGCTTCGTCAAGAAGGTTTACCCAAACTGGGTGACCCAAACTGTCTGCAACCATTTGATCAAAATGAATCTCTCAACTGGGTCTGGAAAAAGCACCCCGGGTCGGTCTTTCGGGCCCCCCCACGCGGCATTCTCATCTGTGACCTGGTCAGGCACATTCCTGATGTGCTCATACCTGCCCGTGGTGCCGGCGGCGGTCCGTTTCAGGGTCTCTCGTGGACAAAAATAGGCGTTGACCCATCAGTGTGGCCTCACAACTGGCTCCAGCAGAAACGAACCCCGTGTTCTGGTGCCAGAATGGTTTTTTCCCCCTCTTTTGGTTGCACAAGAATGAAAAGGGACTTAAAGGACCCACACGGCGCACTCATCGTGCATCTTCATCCTGACCAAGGTTTCAGTACCTTTCCCATCCTGCACATCGGATGGCCGGATGAAGAAAGGCGACAAAAAGGATCGGATGTCCAGACTGGAACGATCGGATGGCCAAACATGGCTTCATGATGAGCTATCCTCAGACGAAAGCCCAGTGCTCGAGGACACCGCTCCTCCACTCGCTTTAACTCTTCGTTCCCCACGAAGAGGTCATGGGTTCGCTTCAAGGACTTCCTGCAGGACACCGTCAGCTCGCTTCGCTTGGAGGCTTCCCCCTTAGGTCGGTCCGTCCGCAAGCAGAGAGAGAACCGGACCGGACCTGTTTTTGCACAGACGCCGGGTGTGGTTACATACGAGTGTCTCAAGAGTCGTTAGCTAAATGGTCCAAATCCTCATCAGAATGAGGGTCTCCTCCCAAAGGATCTGGATGTGGTTCTTTTCGGTCGAAGTGGATGGAAGCCATGGCACTCTCCGGAGCACGAAAAGCAGAACTCGAGGTACTCCAAAAAGAACATGAGTTGGACCCCACCCCCAAAGCAAAGCCACAAACAACACGTAGCTTGCTGGAGTTGGACTTTCATCGAAGCTGCGGCGCCTTTTTCTTTGTCCAGCTATCAAAGCCCTCTGCAGCCAAGGTGTCATCCACCCAAAACTAAACGAAGTACTTTCACACAAGCATACTTGCAACCCCATGCGCCCTCCCACTTCCCCGTTGGGGGTTGCGGATATATATATATATATATATAGCATACTCGCAACCTTGTGGTTGCTTACATTTAAAAAATATTTGAAAAAAGGACTAAAATGGCACACTGCTGAAGTCCCAGTTATAACACCTGAAGAAGAAAAAATTTCTCACCATTCCTGAACTCGCCTCAGGACTCGCCAAAAACCGTGCTCCCCAACCGGTCCAAAAGGACTCGTCTCTTCGACCCGAACGCGTCCCTCGCGCGGAGCCCGCGTCCCGTGCTCCTGACGGCCAGGGTCACTGGCGTTCGCTCGCGCGGGCCCAACCTGGGCGAACTCGCTCGGCGGAACACGGCCGAGGGACACTCCACGCTGCCAGGGTCAGGGGTCCGGCCGAGTTGCCTTCTGTTTCGAGGTGGCAAGGGGATCACGGTGGCCGTTTTAGATGGTGCGCAAGCTCGTGGGAAATCACGACGAGCACCTGTATATACAGTGGTTTCAGAGTAGATGGCACAATCCCTAAGTTAAGTTATATGTGTGGTTTATATGGACTCCCATGTCAAAAAGAATGTGCCATCCACTCTGAAACCATTGTATACGTGACCTTGTTTGATGTCTGCACCTTCACAGGAGGTGGAAGGGCCTGAAAACTGACCCATCAGTTTCCCTGGAAAGTGGAGGTTCTTGGTTGAGTGGGGGACACCCCGGACCGGGGACACCCGATGTGTCGCCTATTCACGGTGCTTTCACCCACCCACCCGCAGGTGATCCACTCAGACGGTTGGGGTCCGAAAGAAGGGAAACCCGATGGAACCCGAGGCGACTCCTCGGGGGCGCCCTCAGAGGCGCGGCGAGGACCGAGGACCGCGCCGACGTCACACCGTGACGAGGAAAAGAAACATGTTCGGAGTCATAGACCTCGGATCCTGTTCTTCTCTCGGATCCTTCATGCCGTTGGTTTTTTCCCTCAGAAGCCGGCAGCACATCGCCCCCCCTCTTCCCCGCTGAGCTGGCAGCACATCTGCCTGAGGTGCGCCGAATCGGCGCGCTTCGCGCGCTTTCGGTGCGGCGAATCGCCGCTCGGAGTCCCATGGGGGAAGAAGGTCAACATCCTGCACCAACGTCATGTAGACTTGCATGTAGATTCATAAACAAAACAAAACAAGCCAATATGAAGAGGTTTTTGTTCAATCCAAAGGAAGGGCGAGTTCTATTTATCAAGAGCCTGCATTCCCAATCATTACCGCATGGTCAAACCTCTAGCAAAAATGTCTGCTGTGTTCGGGTGTTCCGAGTTGGGGCCTGTCACTTCTCCTGTCACTTCTGTCACTTTCGGCCGATCAACAGTGGTTTGATTTTGGTGGTGCATGGGCTCCCCCCCCGCAGTCCCTGCCTCAGCGACTGCTGCAGTCATCTCTCTTCCATTGAAGGCCACTGATGCCAATTAGATCCGTTCTCTGCACAAATGATTATGATCTGAAATCACCATAGCCATAGAAGTTTGAAATGTATGTTGAGGAGAGATACTGCATCTGTTAAATTGCAAGTGTTACATCTCCAGTATGTATATAGTATCCTAGCTTGAAAACACATTCATCTCATTCTCATCCCAGCTTCATCTTGTTTCTAACCACCGAGCTGCAACTTCTTCAATTGCAACGAGGCAAAATGGCCGACAAGCAACAGACTGATCACCAGAGTGCGAATCTGGAAACTGCTGGTGGTCTTTCCCGCCCGAATCATTGCCTCTCACCCAAAGTTCCTAGATCATGGTGCATTGGGATGTTCTCCATCAGCAGCTCATGCGCATCAAAACGTTCTCGATTCGCCATGTCGCTTTTTTGCGTCGGGCACACAGACTGGCGTCTCCTCATGCCAATCTGGTGGGAATCAATCGATGAACCGCACCTGGCCGGTCTAGTCGGATCGAAACGCAAGGGGCAGGACGCCAGGACGTCTCTTCACTATCAGGTCTGCGTGGTGCGCATGTGCGATGTCCCCATCCTTGGCCAATGGCATGAGAGGCTGCACGATGGCAGGATGCAAATTCACGGGCTTTGGGGGTTGGACCTGGAGAAGTCTTGGAGCACCGCAGGCAGAGGTCTGGACAGCATCTATACACCCTCTTAAGCACTATGCTCCGCCAGCTAGAGCCATAACACCCAGCTTCACCACCGATTTCAAATTTTCGGTGGCCCAAAGAACACACTCTGACCGGTTTCCGACAGGCCCGAGCAGTCAACAGGCCGGGAGTGCCAGCACCCACCTCCTGATATTCTTGTCTGGAAATCCAGAATTTGGAGTTGGCCTTCGCCGAGTCCGCCGAGATCCGGCCAAACAACCATCCCCAATCGCTCCATGGGACTGCCATAGGACTGCCGATCAGGCCAGGGGTGGTGCCACTGGGTCAATGGGGCGGCATATATTCCATACAGTTCAGTGTTTGGGAATATAAGACCTTGTTCACAAGGTAGCGGCTTTCACGTATACCTAGACGTGAGGTGAGTCTTCATCGCACCCAAAGGGTGTGGCTTTGACCTTTCCCTTTCTGTTCTATGCATACTAATTACTTTTGGAGTCCAACATATGATGTTATCCTATCAAAAAAGAGTTCACACCGTGTGTATATGCTTCTTGCACGCGGCAGTCGCAGGCGAGAATAGCATGCCTGGTGTTCACAGGCATCAGCCATGATGGAAGCTCCAAGGAACACCATATGTTGCCGATGTGGAGGATCCTTGGTCAGTCCATTCAGTCCACAGGACTTCATTCCCGTCTCAGACAACGAACACGTCGTACGGCAGAGTACGGCCGGAAACAGTATGTACTTCTTTTGGAAACACGACTGAAGTATCTTGACACTTAGCATCACTTAGCTTCATCTGGTTGCCAACGAAGCCAACGAATCCGACGGATCCGTCGTTCGTTCCGGACTTGTGACAACTGCACACGTCCACGTCCACGTGGGCCTTGCCTCCACGTGAACCCTGAATTTGCTGGCACGGGAGGAATCCCCTTGGAGGACGTTCTGCAAATAGAGAGCCTTGAGATCCTGCGCTGCGAAAGTTGGTGCGACTGGCGACACCTGGCAACACCTGAGATTCACGTCTCTTGTTCGGCCGAACAGGACGGAGTTCTACGTCGCCTTGACATGAAAAAGAACTAACACCCCCAGGTTCTGACACAACCTCATCCAGAATCCAGATCAGGCTGATTCAATTCACCAACCTTATTCGGTAAAAATCAAAGAACGATGAGCAAAGACATCAAATCAATATTCACCGACCCCGAATACAATTAATTCCCCCCATGTCCACAAGCAAACGAAGGATGGTCCAAATTCTCTTCGACCATCCTTAGGACGTGCATGCTTCTTTTGGCGACAAGAAAACGACCAAACACTGAAACACCCTGGGTGTCCGCAACATGCTCCGTTACCCATGATCCGCCGCTTCGGCGGCAAAGAAATGTTCAGCCATGCCGGTGTCCCAGACAAATTCCTACGTGGGTGTGTATTTGAATAGCGAGCCCAATGGGTAGACTGGTCTATTTTCCATCTTCCAGGAGGTTCCATATGGGAGAGCCCCCTTGCCCTGGCTGGGTAGACTGGTCTACTTCCCGAACGTTCGAAAAACGAGATGATGTCCCCAATTGTCATACACCCATCTCTTCGACACGATGGCTTACTCGTCTCTTCCGTCCTTTTCAAGCCTTGAGGACATTCCCGGAAACATCGTCGTGCCACCCGAGAGCAGGATTTGTTTGAAATAATCCTGCAGGCAATGCTGTCAGGCAATGCTGGCAATACGGGAAATCCAAATTAAGTAGAGGGAACCATAGGAACTCTTCTTCTTGCAGGAAGAAGACAGTGATGATTCCACCAAAACTGGCTGAGGTGCGGGTTTCTGGTACTGTTGCAAAAGAAACAACGATGACTGCCCTACTTCTTCACGATCAAATGTTAAAAAGTGCGCAATGGTCCTTCTGCACGTGGATATCAGATCGCCTGATGGTGTTAAACACCTCGACACACGCAGCTCTGCAGGAACAAAATTGGCCAAAACCATTTGGCGTTGCTTTAACATGCCGGACTTCTGTAATCCCAAACAAAAAGACATCTGACTTGTTCGATCCATTGCAAGTACATAAGAGTGAGCTCGCATAGGGGTTCTCTCCTCTGGTCCTTGATGTAGAATCTTGATTGATAAAACCCCCCTACTTGAATGCACTCACTTGCGGGCAGGTCGCAACCACCCCCCTACTTGAATTGTAAACCCTCTTCTATCTCCCTCATTCCGAATCCGCACGCAGCCCCGGCAGATCAGAATGCTGTGGACACTCAGGTCACAACCCTCTTCATATGAGAAATTGATGAAAGAAACCCCATATGTGTAGTAAACCCTCTTCATATGAGGGTGATTCATCAAGATTCTACATTGTACATTAATCAGTGGTCCCACATCGCTCATCGTCGACCTCCTGAGGCCCTTCACCAAATCGGCCAATCCATCGGTGTCGCCGTGCCCAGCCAAAGCTGGCTTGAACCTGAGCTTCTCCCGTCAACCAGAATTGGTCCGTAGACCCCAACATTCCAACGACGCTTGGTTTTAATGGGTCTTCAGGTCTTCACAAAAAAAACGTGGTTGTAGGATTGTTTTAGGATACAAAATCAGGTCTGAAGGCAAGGGACCAGCTTGGTGTTGTGTTGGGCTGGATGGTGGCTTTCCTGAGTCAGGTTCATGTATCGAATCCATCCTAAACGGCGCCTGGCACAACTTTGACATCACTGGCGGTTGAACCCGTTGAACCCGTTGAATCACAGTTGAACTCGTCGAGAGCTCCATCAGGGGCGAGCAGAAATGTGCAGCAAAACTGTAGAGTTAGAGTCTTAGAGTTTGCTTGTTGAGTTCATACTTCCAGAGGTTGTTGAGTTCATACCTCTAGTTGTTCTTAGAGGTTGTCGTGTTAGAGTTCATACTTCCAGACTTTTCCAGGAGTTGAGAGACTTGCCCCCTGGCCCGAAATGGAAAAAAGGAGAGAGAGGAGAGAGAGCAAGAAGAGAGCGAGCGACAGGCTCATCAAGAGTCCATGTAACCGCCACTTCCGACAGAGCCCAGAGCGATCTTGAGAGTTCGCTCCCTCCCTGGACCTCCCTGGACCTCCGCCGAGGGACAAGATCTCCGGCGCCAGAAACCGTTCGGCTCCCACCCGCATGGTTCGGCTGTCCGGAAGCACGTACCTGGCGCGCCCAAGCGCCAAGGAGTCCATCCATCCGAAAAAATGGTGGGAGTCGTCCCACCAAAAGAAAGGACACCTCCCAAACCCCTCTGGAATAAAAGAAACTTTTTTTTTTGGGATGGGTCCACTTAGTTCCGCGTTCGGGTCCGGGTCGCGTGGGGGCCGAATGGCAACGGTGCCGGGGTGCTTGGCAGGTACCCCTGGTGAAGGCTTCAGGGCTGGTTGCTGGTGCAGTTGATCAGCGCTGCTTCACAGCTTTCAAGTCCCGCCGGGTTCGTGGTGTTTGTTTTGGGAGGCGGTCGGTTTCCCAAAAGAGGAAAGCTTATCATTTTGGAGGGTTCACCGACCCAAACAAAGAGGATTTGGCCCAAAGCCATTGAAAAGTGACCGGGGCCCGGTCAGCGTCATGGTCAGGGCACTGACGGTCGACCAAGGTGGTCTCCCTGGCCTAAGTGGCTGGGAACCGCCCGCTCGTTGGATGGGGGCCTCTCCAAATGTGCATTCAAAAGACTCCAATTGCTGGCTGTTGGTTCATGAAAATAATCTACTTGGAGTGATCTCCGAAGCATTTCATTTTGATGCCACTGTGGATGCAAGGATGAAACAAGTCAGCATTGATTAGATGCCATCTGTTGGATTTGCCATGTTGTTCGAACGCGCTCGCTGTGATCATCCGCAGCTCACGGTGGTGACTGCAATCTGGCACTCGCGGTTTTTCGATCCGGTGGTACCCACTGCGATCTGGTATTTGTGGAGGAGGAGGCGGAGGAGGAGGAGGAGGAGGAGCAGAGGACATCTCTGATACAGTAAAATCTAATGGACAAACTGTTCATTGATTGAGATTCATGGAGTTGAAGAATAGGAAATATACAAAATCAATAATAGCCCCACAGGACTGGAGATGTAAAAAAGACCCATTCTGGTAGAGTGATTTTTATTCGGCAGCTTCATGACCAGTGGACATTGCTCCCACGATGTCCGATGCAAGTGAGCTACGACCATAGCACAACACAGCGATGGATGGTGACCAGTGGGGAGTGCGATAGATTACAACCTTCCAACTATGCATTTGTTGTCTACCGAACATGCCTATGTTGTATGGATGAGCCCGATTAGTGATGGCTCTTCAGAGCCACCGGAAGAGGGCCGGTTTCGACCACGTCCGGAGAGGGATTGAGTGTATCTGAGTCCCACTCACGGTTTGTATGTTGACCTTTCTTACAGCTTGGGTCTATCCTAGTACCAGTAACAGTGGATGATGATGGTTAGTAAAGGCCTTGTTCAAACACAGTGATAATTATTTACTGACTGTTACAGGGAATAGGGCAGACCCAACTCACACTTACCAACCCTAAGAGCTGTGGAACTTCATCGTTACTGTTCCTTGCTCCTTCCCTGGATCGGGAGGGTCCTATGTAAGTCACACGCACATCACGTCACATGGCTAGGGGCCCTGCAAGCTTCTTTTCCGCTTCCGGGTCGTAGGCCACATAGCATAGCTTCTGCTTGACCTAGTGGCAAGTTGGCAGCGCAACTTTTTCGGTCTGGCAGCGCTCTGCGCGTCCTCTTGGCGTCACCTTCTGCAACCAGAAAGATCAAACACCCGGAGCGGAGCAGCGGTCCGCGGCCCTCCTGTCTCGGTGCCTTTTTACGGAGGTCATACGCCCACGGAGCGTCCCGCCTCACGGACGGTCTCAAAGTCAGTGGTCGAGTTCAACGGATGCCCTTGACCTGACGTTGAACGCCACGAAAGACGGACGTGTGATCTCGCAGGTCAGGTCTGCCCGCAGGACAAAGAACACCGCGGACGTCCGCGGAAACGGATGGTCTGAGGATCAGGATCTGATCGTGAATGCTTGTGAACTGCATCAAAATTGCACTGAGTGGCTGCCTAGCAACACTTCCCCTCTGCGCGCTTGCATACTATCGATGCATTCATGACATGATATATAACCTCAGGCAACACCAGTGATTGGGGACCAGCTTGCCAAACCACCCTCCCTGCTTGATGGGCCCCTGCTCCAAATCCCACCACTCTTGGCCTACCAGGAGCTTCATCAGCTGCTCAGTGACATGTCTGCCAGCCAAATTGACCTCAGCCGCTTCACGGCCGCGGTGGTCTCAGCCCCGTTTTCGCTTGGCTGTTGCATCGGGTCCAATTGGCGGATATTGGCGGCCCATTTTTGGGGGGGCGGAGATCGCAGGACATGGCACGACACGACACGCACCGACCTGATTGGCAGATGCACAAAGAAGTGTGATGTCATGTGTCCTGAAAAGGTAGCAGGGAAGGTGCCTGAAGGTGTTTTCTGAAGGTGCTTGAAGGTGTTGGAAAAAAGGAAACACATGTCATCTGAATGTATCAGGGATGTCCCGCGCACAAACGAGTGGCACCTCGAGGTGGCAGGACAAGCACTAGCACTAGCCACCCTGACCGTTGATACTCCTTATATAGGCTTGCACTCTTCTGCAAATATGTTCCATTTACCGGTCTTCACTCCAGGTGAACTAAAAAAGGACCGAAACTCTTTATGGCCCCCCGAAATCCTATCCAATCCGAGTTGCTCGTTGTACGAGTGCCGGCTCCAAATAACCTTCGGTCACTGGCACCAAATGGGTGACTCCATCTCCTGAATCCACCTCAGACGAGGCGTCATCACCCATCATCACTCGTCATCACTCGGGGTCGCTCCGAAGCAAAAGGGGTTTGCAAGGAAAGACGACCGAGCCACAGAATGAGTGGAGAACTCCGGGCTGCGTGAAACAGACATGATCTCAGAACCAAGCGTATCCAGGCAGTAGTAATGCTTGGCTGCTAATTCTGATGTGTTCATCCCTTCAGCACTAAACTAGACTCGCCAACACAAGATGAACTCGCAGCATGTATCCAGGCTCTTGGCTTCTATCGACCCATTCGGTCGACCTTTCGGCTCTCCCTCTCTCTCTCTCCGGCCGTCTGAGGTCGAGGCCACAAAGCCTGACTGCAGCCCTCTGGAATTCAAGGCTAGAATCGCCTGAACGGACCGGTTCGAGACGTTGGCCAGAACCCGCGAAAATCCCAGAAAACGGAGGCCAGAAGCTGGCAGTTTCAGACCCAGCTTAGGGGCTGCGAGCGTACACCGTGGTACACCGAGTGAGCGGTCTGAAACACCGCTTGGTCGCATCGCTCGCTCCGTTGGTCGAGCCGTCTGGAGCATCGGTCCGTCGATCGTCTCGGTTTCGCGTGGGTCGATCTGAATAGCTGCCAGGACCTTCAGTACGTGACCTCCCCTTGGAGTCTCTAAGTGACCCTTTACAGGCCTAAGTGACCAAAAGGTCACTTTGAAGGTCCTGGTGTATGGCATTGTATGGCTAGGATAGGTACCTCAGATTTCCCCAGATTCTAAAAGAATGAGGATCGCACGGGTTCGGGTCTCGCTGAGGATTCTGAGGAAGGAACTGTTGAATCCACAAGCCCAAGAAATCCGAAGGCTAGGGCCTTTGAGGACCCAAATCTGGAGATTGATCCAGAACCATTGCACTCTGCTTTCACAAGCCTGCACGGAGACGTTGACTCCGCTAAAGCCATACCGCTCGAACATGATCTCAACCTGCGACGTGCCACGGGCACCAATCCAGCACCCTTCTGTCCGCTTGAAGCGAGTCTTGGGGACCAGCACACCGAGGCAATCCCCCCTGTCCAGTCATGACCAAACCCTACAAGTCCAAGGACCAAGTCAAACCTTTACCTCATTGAGTACAGGTTTTGCATCACCGGACCCAGTCAAATGAGGTAGGGAAATAAAGCTGAAGGTATCCGAAGGTCCTTTGTGGGAGCTTTTCAATTGAGACTGGATCACATCTTGACAGAGGTCTAAGATGAAGTCTTCAAAGTCTTCTGCAGTATTTCCGGCCCACCTTGTGCGTTCCAAAAAAACAAAGAGGACCTGCCGATTTGCCCGAACTCTGGTTTCTCAAAAAATTCGACACGTTCCATCCGTCCATCTCTGCGTTCCCCACCGTCCATCTGACAGAAAACTGACCACATCACATCCGCCCCGCACCGCGGGTCTGCACGCGATGCGGCACCCTTCGCCCCGCTCCGAGTCGCACCATCTTCTCGCGATTCCGGGGCGGGTTCAGTGCCGCTTCCGTCTGCAGCACCTGTGAGGTGAGGCGAAAAACGGCCCCCGGCAAGGCGTCAAACGTGGAAAAACGCGGCTGGGTTCGACACCAAATGCCACTGGCCTTGTGGTCTGCTGGGTTTTCAATCCCAAGCTTCTTGAAGGTGTAGTCCCAAACGGCCTTGGCAAACACCACAGCCATCACAGCCAGTCGTCACCCTTGCTGTAAACGGAAGAAACATCAAGTTCAGCAGTCGGCCAAAAGAGAATCGTCAGAATTTGAGTGGCCTCCATCTCATTCCAATCCTTCACCACGCCATTCTGAATGGGTCGGGATAATTGCAGCATGGACCTGGCAGCTCGTTTGTGGTGGGGGGCATTCTTGGCATCACTCGCAGGGATGGTTTCTCTTCCAGTCTTCAACATCCAAAAACATGATCCATAGCAGCCCTCCAAGGATCCAAAGTGAACCACTCGCCTTGAGTCCATCCAACAGTAGGGCAGTGGGTTCGCATTGGGACACCCTGGAATACCCCGGTTGACCGGTCGAACAGAATAGGCAGGAGGTCCAATTCCTGGGGAGGTCCCCATGGTCCCGGTGCCATGACCCATAGCCAAATAGGAACCGGCGCATGGCAGACCTCCAGTTGAGGGACCCGTCACCAGGCAGATGGCACGAGGGTCGGAAACCGAAAACGGATCGAGGGATTCGGTCCGTTCGGCAGCCTCGAATCGACCGAATTCCATGAGGCAGATTTAGGAGGATTCCCAGCATCCCAAAACCAACAACCAAACCCTCATGCGACTTGCCCCCCGATGCTGATCCGAAAGAGCTGATCCGAAAGATCAAAGACCGGAGCCAAACCCAGATTTGGCAAAAGGTTTCAGCTTTCGGTGCTTCGATCCCCCTCTCGGCTCCACTCTACCACCGTGACTGCCTCGCTGCATTGGCCTCGTCTCCAATCATGATGTCCTCCACCTGCGGCGGTGCATTGGCGGAGACTTCTCCGGGTGACAGTGACGTGGGTGACACGCAAGGTCCAGACCAGCGTGGGTGACGTGGGTGGCAATGACCTGGCAATGACCTGGTATGCTTCTTGTTCTGAAACAGAGGAAGCCCCTGTCGATGTTACTGTCTCGATGTTGAACCTCTAAGAAGAGCGATGAAAGGGGGGAAGAGAGAACATCTCAGAATCTCAGCATCTCAGAATTTGGGGCCATCGTGGAGCTTGTGTTACTTGTCCTCAGACTATTCCCTCACCCTCCTTCACCCTCCATCAACGTCCGCCTGACCGACCACCATGCCATCCGCGCGCAGCACCGGGCGGCCCAGTAGGTTTGGGAGCATCATGGACCTGGTTTCGACCACCGCCGCGGCGGCAAAGAAAGGAAGGATTCCAAGTTGTGGTTGTGCTGAATGATAGCGCGACGGGTTTCGAGTGTAGTGGCACAGGTTAGGGTTTGTTAGGCAGTGCAGTGTGCTGAATTCAAAAAACGATGATCAACAAAACTCCATAGACATCCGACCATCCATGGCCACCGGGGGCTTCCAAGCGTTTGACCGAAAAAACCTGAACGGGTCGAACGCTTGGGTGCCCAGCGGTTCCTGCTCTCCAGCCATCCCTGCCTGCAAGCGAGCAGAGTCGACCGTCTGAGCTGATGAGTGGGGCTGAGAAACGAAGCCCTGTGGCTGAGACCAAGCCTCGTGGTTCGTGCTGACTCTTTGAAACCGGAACCCATCCACTGTTATGACCTGCGGTGGACCCTTTGGATCGTCAAGAAGGAAGGCAAGCTCCCATGCAAGCCTCAAAAAAGGAAGAATCCCAATGACATCCAAATGCCACGAAAGCAAGTCGTCCAAGAGGCCGAAAAAAACGGTTTTAAAAAAGAGCGACCAAAATTGGCGTTTTGTTGGGTGGTGTTCCAGATGCAAAGTCCCTCTCCTCCCGAAGCGACGACCCGACGTCCGCCGCTCCGCCCTTTCTCTGTGTGGCTCCCACTCGAAGGCGCACCTTGATCACCCCCGTGCCGGTGTCGCAAATCACCGGAGGCCGCGATGCCATGGCGCCCCGCTTAGCCGCGCCCGCCGCGGTGCAGCTGGCCGATGCTGAGACGGAGTCGACGGAGACGGTAGAGACGTGAGACGGACGGTAGAGACGTGACCTCTCGTGGTCCTTTTTTTGGAAGTGGGGGAGAGTGGGAAGCCGTTCCTGACCGAAGCGCAAAGCTCAGAATGCATCGCGACAGCGAATGCTTTCGAAAGAAAAGAAAAGAAAGGCCGCCACGTAAGGCGTTGGAAGCTGTTACTTTTTCTGGTTGGCCGACCGACACCGTGGCGTTTTGACTCATGAAACTTCTCAGTTACCTACGAGGCTTTTCGGAGAAGCTGAAAGGTTTTGAAGTTCAATGTATCTTGGAGAGACCCAAAAAAAGCTCCTGGAAGTGAGTTGTAGATCCTGTCACCTGTCACCTTCCCCCCTGTGCGGTTCATGGCAAGCTATACCGGTTCTCGCTGATATGCATGCCGGCGAGTGATGGCGAGAGTAGTTGCACTGTCACCTCTTTGACTGACAGAAAACAGGCTGCAAAGTCGAAGAGATCAGAATCTATCGCTCAACGCCAGTGGTCCCTTCATTTTGAGACCCCGCACCTATCCATACTCTCTATATACCTACTACCTCTCTCTCTCTCTCTTGGACTTTCGACAGCAAATCTGAGAACCGAAGCACGCGCGCGCGCGTACGCCCAAGACGCTGATCCCTTCAGACACCGCGCATGTTTTTCCTCATCCAAACAGCAAAGCCTGTACATTGTCAGGGGTCTGGGCAATCTGTGCCGTCAGCTGTTGGACCTCAGATGTTTGGCGCAGAAAAGGGGCCCAGGCGCTGTGCTTAAGCACCTATCTTTGGAGGCATCTCGTCCATGGATTTTACTGTGAGGATTGCCTAAAGTAGACAAGCAACGAATGCCATTATACCATAAGTGTCTGGAGACTCTTGATGGAAATCTCTGAGTTTCTAGTTTTGTGAGGAGGTCATTTTCCCTGTTCTGCCCTCAATTGGGCATTTGGTCAGACCTGGGTCGAACAGGTACCAGGGGATCGTGAGTTCTTTGGTCGCCCTCCTCGTGGCCTTGTGGCCTTTGCACCAACCCCAACAGCTGAAGTTCCATCTTCCCAGCTGTCCCCTCGGACAATCCCGAAAACTAGCCAGGCACTATGCGTTTCCATAGAAAATGCAGCGCGATGGCGTTGAACTACGTCGTGCTTCTTCTGAGACCCAGACTTTGATTGTTCGTGATCCAGCATGCGAGCAAACGGTCAGCCTCACTGAACGTTTGGTGCTTTTCTTGCAGAACTACCACTAATCATTGAAGTTCTAGTTCCAGGCCAAAGAGATTTCTTGGAGAAATCCATTCGAAGCCAACCACAAAAAACCAACCAACCTGTGCAGAAACCCCACCTTCATTGCAGTCTAAGCCACCTTCATACACCATGCGGTCGGCGGTCGGCGGAGCAAATGCTTCAAAATACCCTTAAAAAGCGATCCCAGATCAATCGTCGAGCACCTGCCATGGTCCCTTGATCTGAAGATGGGTCGAAAGGTTTGGCTCCGAGGTGCCCGATGCACTGGAAACCAGAAGACCAAGCCCTTCTTCGCAAAGGTTCTGCTCTCTTCCGAGGGCTTTCAAGCATGATCAAGCATCGAAATGTCCAAATGAGGGTTTCCATAAATGGGGGAAACCCCAAATCAGCCTTTTAGATCCTTTTAATGGGTTGTTTGATCATAAACCATCCTTTTGGGGCACCCCCATTGATGGAACCCTCCTAATGATCTCTACTTCTGCCCTGCTGGGCCGCTTAGGTGTGTCTTCGCAAGTCAACACAGATGTCGTGGAGCTTCTGAGTGTCTGACAGCTGGTTAAACAATTGCTGCTCATCCGGAGTGAAGTCACCTTACATGGAGTGCCACAGAACCAAGCTCAAAGTCTGCTCATCCGTGAGTCAGGGTTCCATTTGACTATTTCCCACCAGTTGGATGGCCTTCACCGTTTCCGCTTGCGCCCCTCCCGCTTCCATCTTCGGTCTCCGGTCGGCGGACGGACCCTCGGTCACCGAGCACGATCAGATCACCGGACGAACGAAACAGGTCACCCAATGCGCCACTGGACAACAAGAAACGGCAAACAAATGCGCGAACACCTGCCGAACGCACGGCAAAAAAGAAATAATAACTATGTGCTATATAGAGTGGTAACTCATCGAACCACGCCCATGCATTTGGACCCCAAAAAGATCAAAAAAGGAGTGGATACCAGAGGGGTCTCTTTACACAACTATACAGGATGCTGCAGAATGCGTGCCCTATCCATTTTAAAAAACTTTGATGTGAGGTTGGTCGCATGTGTCTGTGTCCACTTTTTCATTGGAGATAGGAGCCTTTGACCATGCAAATCAACGCCTCTCGAATGCGCTTGCCACTCGGTTTGCAGATCCGATCGCCGCTCGGCTTGGGCGCGCTCGGGCAGGTCCCGCTGGGCCTCCCTGGCTGGGTTGGGTGGAGCCGTCGATGGCACGGCGCTTCTTCTCCAGGAGCTGCACCACGCCCAGGAGTTCATGGCCTCCACGAATGAGTTCGGCGTCCGTGAGTCCCCACCTTCGGTCCGTTCTGAGGAGGCGAACTCGGAACCCGAGGTGCCAAAAGCAAATGAGCAAATGAGCAAGGGTCCGTTACTCCTAGGTCCCTTTTGCAAAAGAGAGGCAAAGAGAACGAATTGGCCCAAGACATACTTATCTCAGCTTATCTCAGCTTCGATCGTCCCTTCGGTCTTGTGATGTCGTCGAGTCTGGTTTGGGAGCGGTTCGAAGCTCCCAATGGAAAGGGGCGGCTTTCCCATGCAGCCACTAAGTGAGCCATGAAACGGGGCCGGACTCGACTGTTCAGAGAATGAGACCGGCTGAACCCTAAAGCTTTGAAGGAGTCTCCCTGCTTAGTGTTCCAAAGGAATTACACACCTTGGTGACTTGGTGTATATCAAAAATGGTGAGAACCCTCAATCTTGAAGGAAAATAGACTATAAGTCTATTGGGCCAGGGCCTGGGGGTCTTCCTATTAAATTACACCCACTCACCTGTACTTTGTTTGATGTGTTCTGCACTCCTGGAGTGCTGTGCTGCACAGATCATGAAGAGTCCTTCCTTCGCTCGGCGCCGGCGTCTACGCCCGGCCCAGTCGTTTCCTCGATCGCTGGAGGCTTCCACGAGCATGGGCCCAACCAACATCGCCGCATGCGTGTTGACCTCACGTACCCCCAAGGGGGTCGGCGGTGGGGGGTCGTACCAAACCGATGGGTACGGTGCATCTCGGGGCCTTCTTCGAGACGGACCACGGGCTCTGGCCGTTGAGGGCCCGTTGCCTTTTGTTCTCACCATGCCATGCAACTGAGAGGGGGTCCCTTTGGCCTCGGTGACCACCGAGAAACTCTCGAAATCCCAAGGTTTCCTCCCCATGACCTCCTCACCTCACATCCAAACTGTCCAAGACCTCTCCCGAATGCTTCTCCCCTTCTCACCCCCCCCCCCTTCTTCCCCACCTCCCAAAGTCACCTCTTCGGACGTCCCGTTCTTCTCGTCACCTTCACCTGAGCCCTCCAGGCCGGTCGTCCATTCCGTTGGAGTCCATCGGCGATGGGATCCACGAAGGGGTTCTGGTGGATGTCCGGGATGTTGATCACCTGGCCGCGCTTCGTGTGGATCCAAATCCCGCTGGCGCGCGTGGGACCGCACGTTCGGCGGTCAAGGGGCAGGGGGTTCGAAGGTGAACGTCGCGCGGTGCGTACACCCAGAGAGGCGGAGGCAGCGTGGTGACGTGTGCACAGAGCCCGCCCACAGTAGGCTTCGCAGCTCTGTTTTGGGGGGTGGGCGGTTTTTGGCCAGGCTTACGAAACCATGGTGAGTAAAAGGACAGCGAAGAGGATTCGAACATGAGGACATCTCACTCCGGCCTGCTTCTTCTGAGCACACTGGCCCAGAATCCCCTTGGTGATGCTGATCGTCGTCGTGCCCTGCCACATTAAGAAAGGTTGCTCTGCTGCTGTTTGGTTCGTTCAATCCACCTGCAAAAACTGAGTCATTGGGATGTCATAATAGTACCAGGTTTTAAGGTCCATACCAGGACCCTCAGTACTTTGGGGCTATTCAATCCCCAAAGGTTGAAAAACAAGGAACGCCTAGGAGCAAGAAGCTACTAGTAACAAGGACGCTATTAGGTGGAGGCCATCGCCAGTAGGGTGAAGGCCATCGCTAGTAGGTTGGAGACCATGGACGCCATCGCTAGTAGGTTGGAGGCCATTGCTACTAGGGTGGAGGCCATCACTACTAGTAACAAGAAGCTACTATTCTCGAGACATGTCGAGGCACCCACCGTGCCAGACACCGTACCTTCTTCCGCATTTGCGAAGAAGAGATGAGGAGGCATCTGCTGTCATGGTCGAAAAATAGCACTCGGATGGTATTAACCTCAGTAAAGCTGCAAGTCTTCAGTTGAACAGCTAACATTCAAGGATACTCCGTGTACAACCTACTCAAGCCACTCGACCCGGCTTCCTGGGAGTGTGCAGCATGATCCTTGTGAGTGTGCATGGCAGTTCATGGTGAAAAGTCCCCATGTAGCACCCACCCACACCCCCGTTTCACTCACCCAAAGGTCAGAACCTGGACCTCCTGTCGTCTACTCTATTCATCTTCCATCAACCAAGGGTCCCGACCCGCCAGATGTCGCGCTTGGTCCCTTGACTTCCCTTCATGCTCCGTGGTTGAACGACCCACCGAGCCGGGTCGGGACCCGGTTACCACCGACGGCCAGCCGACGAAGCAGGCGCCCCGGCACTGAAGAAACCCGAGAACAAATGCTTCACGCGCTGCTCGAAGTCCGCCAGGGTCCTGGCCTTGCGCGTTACCAGCTGGCCCGCCTGCCCCACAGTGGGGGGCACATGTCTGCAACGACCAACTGGCCAAGCCCAAGCAAAACCAGCAATGGCAATGCACCAGCCGCCATCATGATGCTAGCTCGCTTCACCGAATAGCTGCTTGCTGCGCTCAAAAAGCTTCGAGAATTACCTTGAACTGATTATTCTAGAGCTTGCTATCTTGCAGAAAGCTGACCTAACCTTGCCACTCAATAATTTGATGGTGAACAACACAAACGAAAGGTCCGGAAGCAAATATCTAAAGAAGGCAATGGAAGGCCCTTGTGCATTTGTGTACTCCAACCATGCTCATACTATCATCACCTATCGACAGCAAGCAGAGAGTGCATAGAGAGTACAACTCTCCCCTTGCGAAGTTGCGGCTTAGCCGCGCCTTGTCGAGTAAAGCTATTTAGAAAACAGTTTGTCGGAAAAGAGATGTATGCCAACTCCGACCTGACTAGGCCGGCAGCACTTAGAAACTCTAAGGCCTTTAGAAAGTCGAAAAAGGGAACGCAGGGCCCATGAACTCTGTGAAAACTAGCGCAAAAACAGAATTCAGGCTAAAAAATCAGCTATACTGGATGCTTCAGACCTGCACTCCATGCCAGGTCTTAAGCTAAGGGCTTCACATACTCTGCTTTCACCACAAACTTGGAATCCACAAGCTTGCGGGAACCGTGAGGATACAAGTCAGCCTCCATGTTGTAGGTCTCTTTCATCACTTTGCAGAGATTGTCAAAGGACTCGGGCGAGACCTGATGACACTCCTTGTCAACATGCCAGGTAATGGCATAAGGAGAGCACACGGAATTGTCCCAGGACTGCCCTGTGGTTGAACCAGGATACATCACCGAGTTCTCATGACCCACGACGGTCCACCCGTGCAGCAAGTCATCAACAGTAGGGCCACCCGACACAATCTGATAGACCTGGCCCTGCACCACTACCATGGGGTTCAGAATGCCACGGCCATTGGCAGCACCTAACAGATTGAATGATTGACATCGAAGGAAATCATACTGCATACTGCCTGCACCATTTATACATTAAGTGACCGTCAGTGACCGTCTACTTCCAGTATCGATGTCCTACAAAACACTCTGACAATATCTGTCCTTCATGAAACAACCTGATCATTCCACCAGTCTTCCTCTATATGTGACTCTTCTGTTGCATGCCTCCCAAGCCATCTGCCAAATCGTCAGCATTGATGCCATCAGTCATATCCGAGTCCACACCAGCAGAAGAGTGCACATAGTGGACCTCATATGACTTGCCAACCTGCACATCACCCTTGCAGTACTGGAAAGTGTAGGGAGTCATCTGGGAAGATGACAAAGTGTCGGTTGCACACATCCAGCCAGGGCGAGGATTGCTGGCAAGACGACGACCCGAAGATGCATCATAAGCTTCTGAGTCTGTTCCGTTCTGGTAGCTATCACTCTTGTGCTCAGCGCCATAGTGGAAGTGCACGTTCACCAACGGTAGGAAATTGGCTTGCGCATCAGTGAGCGTCGCTGCTTTGGGTGTCATCTGACCTTGTGCTCCAGTGCTCAAATCTCGAGGCGTCTGGGGCTCTGCCATGTTGCAAGCTGGTGGGTTGAAGTTGTAAGGACAGCCGGGCACGGTGACAGTCAACTCTTTGCTGGATGATCCACAGCACTGCTGGCCCTTGTAGAAGGTCTTCAAGTCGCCACATGTCACTGCTTCCGCAACATGGCTAAGTCCAAGTAGGACCACTGCAGACAACACACTGGTTGCCATCCTCATGGAAAGCATCCGAGGTCCCTTGCTGGGTGGCTGCTTATAGCTGCTTACTGCGCTCGAAATGCTTCGGGCACTCACTGACTGTGGCGTTTTGTTAGGATTAGCAGAAGTCTTCAACATGCAAGGCGGGCTCACAGTACGCAACAGAGATACTTAGAATATCCAAAATTGCAATTCCAATCCTAAACATTGCACATTCAAAACCAAGCCACCCGTTTCTTGACACGACCGGACTTGATTGAGGGCACCCTTAGACATATGTAGACTGCCAACGACGAACCAGACCGACCTTGTTCACGTCAATGGCACCTTCCATAATTGCTCGGGTGCGGTCCACCTGGCGCGCTATAGGTCCAAACATGTCCCTCTTTCTTTGGGGGAAGAGGAGGCTCATGTGAGGCGGAAGCAAGACCCAACAGTTGGGTACCGGTACACACTCACACAGATTATCGGTTTGCACGGTTCACGGTCTTGGGAACGTATTCCAAGCACCAATGCTTCATGTGTTTTTTTCGCCCAGCTTTCTTGAAATCTCAGCACCCCACGATCTTGGCTCGATTGTCCAGCCGTTCGATGTGCAAAAGCACCTCAGTGACCGGTGCTGCACGGGGGTTCCTTGGCCAGTTCTGGCGCCAGGTTTCGCGCCCAGCGTTCCCGAAGCCACACATTTTTGGAGGGTCCTGGTTTGGGTGTATAAACCAGCCAGCACCTTCATGAAGGGGTCACCTGGCTGGAAGGTTCTACACCACTAAGGGACCTCTAGACAGGACACCCCGAAAGAAGGTCCAGGAGGTTTTAGTGGATGATCATGGTTACGTTGGCCGACATCTCAAAATGAGTGACTGTTGGGATCTTGCGGTGCCTGAAGGCGCCGGTTCGCGCCTTCGGACTGAGGGCTCGGCTCCACCGATAAAGGCGCACAACAGCTGCCTGTGGAAAGGACCCAAGAGCTTTTCGTTGGGCATGATAGGGTGTGTTTGAATATGGAGACCTCCAACCCATGGGTTTTACTCTATTTTCCTTCTTCCAGGGTGTCTTTGGAAGGTCTCCCTATTCTAATACACGCCCATGTCTCCTTCATGACCCTTCCCGAGAACGAAGCCTACAACAACTGTGTGTTGAACGACCTCCAAACCCTGGAGCTTATCTTGAAGTCAATCAACGCAAAGGACTGATGATGAACTCCTCACCCTCTGGCTGAACACTCGACTGTTGGGATCGGCCATCTCAGTTTCTTCACTGACTGGTGCGACTCGTAGGGAATAAGGGAATGGATCCTGAGGGGTCTACAGGGGTGGTTCATTCCCTCATTCCCTACGAGTCGCACGAGTCTGTTCACCTGCCCCACACAACTATCTCAGTTGCTTCACCTGCCCCAAACCACGCCGGGAACACAAGTAGTTGATGTGCGAATCGGTGAAGCATTGACTGAGGCGATTGATGTCCTCACGCCGTTCACCGCGTGGCGTTCACCGGGCCGGCAGCCGGTCGGTCGAGGAGTGGACGGGTCTGTCAGGGAACCCATGCACATGGAGTGGACCGACGTGTGAAACAGTGGTAAGGATCATGTATCGTTTTTGTGGTTTGTGATGAAACGGAGGGTTCTGATTCATTCTGATGAAACGCAGGGATTTGAAAAACTTTACCTGTTCATTTCGGCTCTGGACATGGATGCCATAGAGTGTTCATCTCATTGGGCACTCCAAACCAGCCAGTTCATTAGTTTTACCCTGTTTCTATGGTTCCCTAGAACAAAGGAGTATACTGTATGGTAAAATCCTAATCTAGACTCTTAATCAAAAGAAAACATGTGGATTGTAAAGCCTCTTTATATGGGGGGGGGTATTGATCAAGAGCCTACTCTCAAAAGGTCACCCATCCCTGGTGCTTGGATAGAGAGTGGAATTGCCACTGCTATATGTTTCAATAGAACTTCTGCATGAATCCTCCCAAGAAACATGTCTTTGGACTCCTAAGTGACACGGATCCAACAACAAAGAAACCCAAAAAAAAACAGGAACCATAAGGACAAGCTCACCAAACACCGCCGACATGTTGATCTGACCTTCGCTCTGTGTTGAAGAAAAAGGAACGAAACACAGCTGGACTGGGACATGGGCCTACATGGTCCCAGCTTGGAGAGAGAGAAAAAACAACAAAACAAGAACCTGGTTCTTCAAAGTGACCGTACTTGATATCCTGCTTGGTTCGGTCACGAACAAGCCTCCGAGTAGGGTCACGAAAAGGAACCTTCAAAAGGTCACGAACTGAAGAAGCTGGAAATGGTTCCCGCAGACGGAACCAGACAGACGACGGATTCGGAGTCCGACGCCGTTCCCGCGTCCATCACGCGGCGCGGGTGCAGTGCGGTCGTTGGTCCTGTGAAACGCCGGCGTCCTGTAGAATGCGGGGAACAAAGTTGGCCTCCCATGTAAGGGCAGCAGAACAAGCGGCGCGATGGAATCCGAATGAATCCGATGGATGAAGAGGTGAAAAAGTACCCTGGTTACCTGAAGATCCAAAGGAAGCTTCTCGCCCACAAAGAAAACACCACGAGTTCACGATTCGACCAGATCTATGAGATGCCTTTGAAAAAAAAGAAACGACCTCCTCTTTCTTTTCGTTGGTTGAGCGTTTTTCCCCATTGTGGAGGTCAAACACCGGATGAATCTGGATGACCAAGCAAGTGCCATCGTGAACGTACCCATCGTGCCTCTGATTCAGCTATCTTTGAGTCCTGATCCAAAGGCACTCATCCAATTGAACAGGCTTCGCTTTGCTTTCACTGCAGCTCTTCCAAACAAAACGGGCAGAATCTGCTCGCACGGCTCCACCCCCCACTTCCGTGTGGTTCGCTCCTCCAACGTCACTTGCAAGACCGCCTCGGTGCTTCGAACCGGACCCGGACCCGGTGAACCACCGGACCCGGGTCGGACCGGGTCGGACCGGTGGACGCGACGCGACGCGGTCCAGGCCGCCCGGGCCCAGATTCGGGTGCGGTTGGGAGTGAGCACCTCGGGGTGGCAACGGGCAACGGGCCGCCTTTCGATGGCTTCGGGGCGCAGTGCTGGCGTCTTCGCTGGCGTTCTGCGTCCGCCTTCTCAGGCTCTTGCAGGCATGGCCGAGCAAGTCTTGGACCGGAATGGTAGTGCCTGGAGGCCGGACGGGAGAAACCACCAAAAGGAGTGGCTACTTCGAGCGACGGTCGCTGGAATATAGATGCCCTTCTACCTGGACCATCCAAGGGGTGCCCTGTCTGGAAGCCTATCGGATCCGTGTGGGGTAGTCCAGCCCGGACACCCCGACTGGATGGTCCTGCTTAGACTAATTGTGCATTTTTAGTCTTCAACGTGTGTGTTTTCTCTTGAAAAAACTTGACCTCAAAGGCTCGCACAAACCCCGCATCCCGCATGCGTCTAGAGTCTAGAGGCGTCTCCTCCGACATGCGTTTGGGGCCGCTCTTAGCCAGCGGCCTGCAAGTCCGTAAAGACCGGTGGACACACCTGGCGTTGGTGACCAGCGGGGGGGAGGTGACCAGGATATGCAAAGACGCATCCGCAGCGAGGCTGCTCACTTCTGCGGGGATGTAACACTACCATGATGCAACGTCGGCATAAGAATGGCACCAGGTAGCAAAACTCAACCACGCACTGGGCAGCCGGCTACAAACACCTCGCAACAACACCCTGGAGCAGCACCCTGCAGCAGCACCAGCACACACGGCCATACACATCTGGCAGCGGCACCCTGCAGCTGCACCCTGCAGCTGCACGAGCACGGCAGCGGTGCCCTACATCAGCACCAGCACCCACTCTCCAAACTACCGTAGACATCTGGCAGCGGCGCCCTGCACCAGCACCCAGACCCCAAAGCTCAAACACCTTTTCCTAAACTTGAAGTAAGAACTCCAATAGCTCTCGCTATCTGGGGGAAGAATCACACAATAGTTGATCTACACTACCACGACATCAACCCCTTCTGAAGCGATGCTCCTACAACTCCTAGAATCCTAGAACCGGGCCACCTATTTCTTTTCCATCCCATCTGCACTGCAAAGCTCACAGCTGCCAGGACCCCCGGGCCTTGCTCTCCTCCAAGCGAACTAAGGCCTTCCGTCCCGATCGTTCCGAAGGCGGCCGCGCGAACCGCGCGAGTGTTGCAGCGATGCTCGTCGGAGGCGCCTGCAATTCCGTCTTCCCTTGGCCCAGGTAGAAAATGGTGAGCTGCTCCGTCTGCACACATGGAGGTTGGACGTAACCGAATGACCGAACTGCCACCTGTTTCATGTTCGGAGGAAGCGAGATGCTCCACCCGAATGGAATCGGGTTGTGGTTAGACCAGTCACGCATTGAAAGACCAGAAAACGAAGCCCATGAACAATAAGGATCGTTGCACACACCACCATTCGACACCGACGCTTCTCCTTGGAGTGCCCAATGGTCACAGCTTTTCGTAGCCAAGGATCCACGATGTAGACCTAGAGTGAGACCGGCGGTGCTTCGAACCGTCGCGTGCGCCGTTCTCGAGGCCAAAAACATGCCCATCTCCTCCCTTTCCCCGAAGCATCTGCCTATCTGCATGATCTACACCATCAAGAGGTCTGCTCTATAAAAAGCCCACTCCAAAATGTCTTGAAAAGCGTACCACATCGTGCCACTGTATGTTTCTATCCATGCGAGGACCGAGTTTCCTGCAACATGTCGGCTCAAAACCCATCGAAAGTGCCCGAAAAGCTTCCTGGAGGTGGTTCCTCCTTTTTCGTCGTTTGGTGAAGCATCACCCTTTTGGCAACAATGAACTACGGTCCTTTCCACCGGATGGAGGAGCCTTTCAAATCCAAAACTACAGGTTTGTACCTGGTATCAGGGGCCCCATGAAACTAGGCCATAAACCATCAAAGAGGTTTCCCTTAGCAAAAAGCATGGTTTGGGTATGTGAAAACCTATATATCATTATATATCTAACACAGCAAAACTGAGGGCCACCGGGGTTTTCGACCGACCGTCACGGAGGGCGCGGCCACACCCGGTCGTCTCGAGCTGTGGAGGGCGCCCGACTCGGTGCCACCCCAGGCGCCGTGATGTTGGAGGTCCGGCGATCGGCCAAGAGCCGCGCGGCCACATCGGCCATGGCCTCGGGGTTCGGCTTCGGTGCCGTTTTCGACGGTGACCGAAGCCCCCAACAACC